TCAAACGGAAGGGGACAGATGAGATGAAAGATGAGATGACATCGGACAAATTAAATTCTGTTTTGCATCCCTGCAGATACACAGACGACACGATGAGCTGTTACCTGAATCAGAGCATGATCGTCTTGAAGGAAGTAATCAGGCTCAAAAAACAGGTTGCATTGTAACAAGATCGCCAGACCTCTTGTATTTAATACAAATGCGTGTCTAAGTTTAGGTTTTTTTGATGACATCACCTTTTGTTGGGTTGCACTGTTGACCAAATGATCACTCCATCGACAAAAAAGACAACATACAATCCTTTCAGATGAATAAAAGTAAATATTTTCAGCCCTCACATGTACTTAAGAAATGAAAAACCTTTGACACAGCCCGAGGAAAAATAGAAATTTTAAGCCTAAGAGAATTAGATTGTAATGCAATGCAATTCCTGTGTAATAGCATTAGATTGCGTTTGTTGTTTTTTAAAGATATTTCCCAGCCTGTAATCATCATGTCTCCCTTTGGATCAATCATCACAAAGTGCTTTGACCAAATACACAGAAGCATCATTTCCCCTGCTTTAGAGGAAAACCTAGTCATTGCTTTTTTTTGAAACATTTAACAGCTTTTTACACATCTCACTTAGTTTCACTCCGAGTTGACCAAATATGAAGCTTTCTGTTTTGTTGCTTGTAGCCTTCAGATGAAAAAGACCCACACTCCGTTTTGAAACCCCCGACCAATCCGATGGTTTTAGAAGCACTGATCCACAGGGATGAGGCCAAGTAATGAGTCTTCTATGATGCGGGCGCCTGAAGGCTGATTGGAGATCAGTTCGGTATCAGTCTGCTGTCTCCACCACAGCAGGGCCATCCAAGCGGAACAAACATAGTCAATTTGGTCTGTTATCGCTCACACACACCTGGGCTGGCAGCATCACAGCTCCTTCTGTGTGAGTGAGTGTGAGTGACAGGTGTTTGGCTATGGTTTGCGGTCAAAATACCACTGAAGGGTAAGAAAAAGGAAGGATATGATATATAATGCAAATCAGACTCACTAAAATGACATAAAGGAAGTATTACACGTGTGTGCATGATCACATGGTGTGTTTGTTTTGGAGTTACAGACATACCCAGGCCCATGTCAGTGCGTTGTGGTTTGCAGAAGGCGCTAGACGTATCAGAGGAAGCAAAGTGAAAGAGGTTGCAGAGTTCTCGGTTTGTGTCATATTTGCTTGTCGGGCTGAAAGCTGAATGCTGTTTCAAAGGTATTAGTGTTCAGCTCAGTCATGTTCATGAAGGACCCAAGCTTCACAGGCTGCTGGTCTGAGCTGTGAGGCATGAGAGAGAAGGAGACAGAAAAGACATGGGATGGGATGGGAAAAAAAAAAAGGAAGCGAGACATCCAAGGGAGAGGACGGGGGGGAATAATGAGAGGCATATAAAGAGGAGATTGTGAGAAGTTAAGAGGGTTTGATAATGAGAGAGAGAATCAGTGGGATGAGAGAGAGAGAGAGAGAGAGAGAGAGAGAGAGAGGGAGAAAACGTGGATCTAGGTCAGAGAGGCAAAGCAGTCAACAAACAAGTGGAGGAAGGGATGAACAGGCCTGTGTGGCACAAAGCTCCTCTATCTGAATGGGACGCCTGCGGAGAAAGAAAGAAGAAAGAAAGATTAGGCTATCAAAAAAAACAACAACATTGGAATATCTTTATTTAAATGATTATCATGAATTTTGATTAAAGACACAGTTAAACTTGTTGCAATACAGAAAGTGTATTCCCTCAAATGATTGCTGGCCCCCTCAGTGTCCTGTATTAAGCATCGAGCCAGAGTCCAGTAGCTTAGCTTAACTAAGAACAAGAAGTCTGAATGCGGGGGGAAAAAAAACATCTAACTTGCTTGACTGGGATGGTTTTAAATTTAAAAAAAAAAGCTACAAAGACTTCTGAAGCTAGCTAATGAAGATGGTGTTGCCCAACTTCGGCCTTTAAGAAACAACAAACAAACAGAAATGGAGTAAAAGTCATGCTAGCAGTATGTTTCTTGTAAGACAACTATTGAAGTAGGCTAGTTTTGTGTTATGTTGTGTTATAGGTTTGTTAGCAACAACAGTAAAAACAGCACAAATAGCCTACCAGAGAGACGGTGTAATCTAATTTCTAACCTTAAGCTAACTGTTTTAGCTGACTGTTTCCCCTGCTTTAAGTCTAAGCTAACTGTGGCGCAACTCAAAACTTGACACTACGAAATCAGAGGATATGATCCTTCTTAATAAATGCTCAAAAAGAGAGTTAAAGGTGAATATATTTTTTTGGTCTCAAAATGAGAACTACTACTTTAATTTGTTGAGTTGTGGTAATGACCCTTAAAAGTTTCCGTAGCTTAAGAGAAAGTCATAAAATGTCTCATTTTGTGTGACTAAAGGTCCTACACCAACATGAATTTAATTTCTAAAAATATACAGATTTAAGAAAAACAATTGTATTTATTTGTAAACCTGAAAATATTTAACATTTGAGCTTGATAAACGGCTTTAAAATGTCTTATTTCAATCCAATCGTTTTTTCATCATTCTTTCACACGTTGTCTTTTCAACTGCTAAATACTATTTTATTTGACATTCATACCGCCCAGATCCACCCTCGGCTTATCTTTGAATTTGGAAATAAATGAACAGGCAGAGGACAAAGAGAGAGAGCGAGAGATGAAGAAGAACGGACAGTGCTAATTCCTTTCTGTTGCACCTTTCACACTTGGTCATTTAATAAGGCGGGATGACATTACTGCTGTAGGAGGGGAGGAGAGATGGAGGTTGTCAGGTGGCTCAGAGTAATGAATCTTTATCCAGCTCTGATTATGTCCATGTCCAATATCTTTTTTTTTTTTTTGACACTTTCTCTCCAACTCCCTCAATCACTCGCTCTCTCTCTCTTTTTTCATGTCTCTCTGTGTGCACATGTGTGGGTGTTTGCAAGAGTTCTTTTGTCTGTGTGAGGAGCTATAAAAGGAGATCTTTTTGTATTTCACATGTGTGTCTGTCTCTAAGTGTATGCGTGAGTTTCTGGTTTGTAAGTGGCTGTAATGCCTTTGTTGGTCTCCAACAAAGCAAGCCCTTGTGCTTGTGGAATTGGGGCAGTCTGATCCTAATGAGAAATCCCTGTTCAATCTTTCCAGCTCTTTCACTTTCACAGAATCTGGACTGTGTGTGTGTGTGTGAGAGAGAGAGAGAGAGAGAGAGACAGAGATAGAGAGAGAAAAGAAGCCTTATCACAGTGTCCAACCATCCACTGGTGCTTAGTTTGCAATATGCAGTACTATATTGAAACACAATGAGTTATCATGTTAAACTCATACTTTATTTTAAGTCGTTGCTTTAAACTCTCCTCACTCTGATACCTCAGGTGATGTTAGCATCATGCCCAGTCGTGTTGCAAGAACCAACCAAATGGACTGATAAAGGTTAGGTTCCTACTTACGGCTCTGCGAGCATCAGCACTTCCTCAATTTAAAAAAGAGAACAACAACTCTTGCCACTTCTGTAAAGTAGGCAAGAGACGCCGCTTGTTCACCTGCTTTGAACCTGAAGATTCAGTCATGTTTAAGTTAAAAACTTTGGGTTCCACTTCTAAAGCGTGATTGGAAAAGTACAGGAAAGCTATCGAGCTGCCTAGCTTGCATTTTGCAAGAGCTGCGTATAGGCTATTGAGTAACTGGCTACTTGCAAGCTATTCATCAAGTATAATGACTTTTAGTGAACCCTTGAGTACAATTGATCTATTAAAACAACATTAAAATGGATTATGAAGAGAGGAGACCGCTAGCAGTTGGACAGAGACGGTCCTGTTACTGTGAAATCAGGAAACTATCAAGTCTTAGCTATGTTCTGTGTCTGTTGTTGTTGTTGTTGTTGTTGTTGTAGCGTAGCCGCTGTTTTGGCGTTAGCACTCGTTATCAACACAGCCTTTCGATTAAAGCCCTCAGGAGGCCCTTCAGAGCCAGAACATTAATGCCATCTGGTTTACAAGAATTCCAGAAGGAAAACAGTCCTGCCCTTGTTTTTGAATGTGTGTGTGTGTGTGTGTGTGTCTGTACATGTGTGTGTGTGTGTCTGTCTTTGACTCTGTGTGTTTGTAATTTCTTTGTTTTTGCCACTAATGCTAAGCTGTTCTGCTCAGACTGTAACATGCTAATCAGTCGAGTCCAGACAGGTGGAAGCAATAGCCGTCAGTGTTTTTTAGCCTCTCTCTAGCCCTGTTAGCTTCATTAGCTAATCACAACCACAGATGCTCTGTATAAAAAAAACAAACCACTTGGGCCGTCCATTTGCCCCCAGCTTCCAATCTCTCGCTTCTTCGCCTCCTAGCCCCCCCCCCCCCCCCCCCAGGCAGATTCTTAGCCTCAATATTACACAACGCTGCCAAGTCTGTCTTTCTTTGTTCCTTGTCCTTCTTTGACTGTCAACCGTGTTTAACCACCGTTAACCATTTTTCAGCATCGCCAACTGTTTCCTGCCCAAAAAGTAAAACCCTGTTAAAGTTAATACGATTAGAAATGGTTTAAAAGGAGTCTTGTCTTGTTTGGCGAGCTTATCCAATATTTTGATCAAAATCTGTGTTTATGTCACCAGGTCTGTGAAACGTGTGCATGTCACATATCACTTTGACTTTTTGACTTGGCTGTTGCTTTCTTTATGCAATCAGCTTCACATTCGCAATCTTATACATCAGGGAGTGAAACCCAAGGGGCTTCAGCAACATCAGAAAACATGTAAATCAGTCTGGGAATTCACTCATTTTGATGTCTTTTGGATTCTGTCTCTTTGTTGTGAAGTGTTTTTGTTCATTTTATTACCTGTATTTTCCACATTCTGGAAGTTTTTTTTTTTTTAATGCTGTATTTCAGGCTGACAGTGAAAGAGAAAAATGCTAATTTAAAGCAGACATTGATATCTCCTCCATCCTTTTTTTTTGTGTCTCCTTGTGTCATTGACTGTCCCCCTTCTTTCCTCCTCTCACCAGGGTCGCCATGTTAAAACCGGGCAGCTGGCAGCCATCAAGGTCATGGATGTCACCGGGGTAAGATACACGCATACATTACACACACACGCACACTTAAGCCCTTCACACTCGTGCACATACCCACGCACAGAAAAAAAAATCATCTCGAGTGATTATACCACCGCCGACCGTGTCATCTAATTAAGAGCGATGAGTCAGAGCTAGCGATTGTGTGTACGTGTGAGTGTGATGTGGCAGAGAGGAAACGAGGACAGGCCTATTGCCATGGTAATATTAGCTAGAGGTATTAGGACAGCAGTGTGGTCTCAGGCGTGTCTGTAAAGCAGGAGGGAATCTCAGCTATATTTAGAGATCCTCTCACCCTACGCCTCGCTGTTTGCGCTCAGCTGCCGGCGAAACAATGAAGGAGTGCAGGAATGAGGCAGCAAAGGAACCTGAATGAATGAATGGTTAAATGAATGAATGACAAATGAACATATGCAGACGTATGTGAATGAATAAACGAAATAGCCAAAGGAAGAGAAGAACAAGCGATGAATTAAATTGAGTATGAATGGCTCCGTGTGCAAAAATCTTCTTGAATCCAATACAAATAAGACCCTTCTAATTAACCATTCAAAATTAAATGAAGGGCAAAATTGCGAGCTAAATGAGCCGATACTGTACAAAATCAGCTTACTAAAAGCAAGTGTTTTTGTTTCCATGACTCATGAACGTTAAATTGGAGTAATCGAGGCATAATTCTCCATCATTGTGCATAATTAATAAGAAATTACAGTGCTACGTAACCAACTGCCGCCATGACAACTTGTTTCAAACACTTGCTTTTGGCTGTGTGTCAGTGACCCCCCCCCCCCCTCGCTAAAATGAGAGTAATTAAAAAGTAATTCTGTTGTTGTGGGATATTTAGATCCCAGCTGTTTCCATTGTAACAGCATTTAGCTAAACATCAGTGGATTCAAATTGTAAATCCGTCAACGACTTCATCCCTTTTGCTCTCTCAACATCCGTGCGGGAGTCAACAGTAGGGGTCACCTGTTGATTTTTTGTTTTTTTTTGCCCCATCATGTCTTACAGGATGAGGAAGAGGAGATCAAAGCAGAAATCAACATGCTGAAGAAGTACAGCCACCATCGCAACATCGCCACCTACTACGGAGCGTTCGTTAAGAAGAACCCTCCCGGCGTTGACGACCAGCTATGGGTACGCCGCCATTTCCCGTCTTTTTTTTTTTTGCATGTTTCCTTGTCAGCATTTCTGCAGCTCTGCGTGTGTGAAAATGGAGTGAAACACGGGGAGAAAATAGCTACGGAAAGAAGTGGCGTTCCATTTGTCACTATTATGTTTACAGTGTGTAGTTTTATGGAGTTTTGGTGTTGCATTGGAAGATGTGCTTAACGTGAGTGTGTGAAAGATATGAAGTGTATGAATAAGCGTGCAGCTGGCTAGGCCGCTGCAATAAATCACGAGTAAACGCCATCTCAGGGAGCTCTCTCTTCTCTGATCTGGTCCCATTCATCACACAACAACAGTAGGACACACAAATATATGCATACACACAAAGCAGCCGGAGCTATTGCATGCATAATTCCACATGACTCAACAGCAGCTCGTCGTGTGGGTGTTTTTTTTTATTTATTTTTTTTATGTGCTTTGACGCATATGCCCTTATGTCTATGAGTGTTTCTTTTGTCTTTGCGTGTCAGGGTACACATGCACACACAGGATCAGAGAGGGGGTTTTCGGGTATTACTTGCCAGCTTCCTATCTCCCCGTGTAATCCAGAGCGATGATGAGAGGAGCTTGAAGCAGAGCCAGAAACTGACCAGCTGAACTTTTGCCCGCATATCTCTGCGGTTGTAATGCTGGGGTGGATGAAATGAAGGGCAGAGAGAGGAGAGGAGAGATGAAGGAACGAGGCAGCTCAGGGATGGACCGAGGAGAGTGATGGACAGAATGGATACTTTGTGTTTGGGTCAAGAGACAGATTGGATTCATTCGTATTATCTCGTGACCTCGTTGAGTCGTCTGTGTGTGTGTGTTTGCGAAGAGTGCAACATAACTGTCTGTGTATATTTATGTATATTTCTGGGTTACTAATGCTACTACAATGATTTGATTATTGGTACTGTCATGTGTATTTTCTTAAGGATAAAGACAGTTTTACACAATTAATGAATTCATTAATGCATTAAATGGTTTAAAGGGTTAGTTAAAAAAAAAAAATACAACTGTGTGTAAGAAAAATCTAAGAAGACAGTTATTATGTCCGATGTAAGGAACTGTCAATTAAGTGCATCAATATTTATCTGAATTCTAAACAACAAACAATAGAGAAATAACTGAAAACACAAAAATGTAAAAACTGAATTTGAAGAAAAAACACAAGACCTTTTTACATTTAGATTAAACCACAGCGCTGAAACAAAGCTCTGCTGACACTCCACCTTTGTGCTTTTACATTGAACCCCACAACAGTGTATTATACAGTAGGTGTCCCTGTGTGTGATTTTCATAGCCTTACAGTGTTGTGGAAACCCAAGAGGCATGATGTATAAACAATCACACACACACACACACACTCAAACTTTGCAGACACAGCCCTGATCTGTCCTGCCAGCTCTGATGTTTCACAGTGACACTGTTTCGCCTGTGTTGTTACCTCTGATGCCGACTCTGTGACATTTATATATACACAGTCCTGTCTTGAACAAGCAATGTCAAATGGGCTAAATATTCACTACATCAAATTCAGAAAATACATTGTTTTCATATCAGACCCGTACTAATATTTTAAAGCTGTTATTGATACATATGCAGCCTCATATTGATGCATCTTTAGGGGTCTAGAAATGTGATTATTTATGATTATACCCAGATTGAGGAAACTATTTCCACAAATGACAATGACAGTGCATTGACAAACAGGTGGTATTATTTACTAACTCACTGGTTCTCTACATACAATAGGTTCTTTAATGGGAGTTACTTGCATATTTCAACAATGTAAACAAGTTTTGCTTCTTTTGCCAACCAGTCATCATTATTCATTATCCTTGTATATTCGTAGCTGGTGATGGAGTTCTGTGGAGCCGGCTCGGTCACAGACCTGATCAAGAACACCAAGGGAAACTCTCTGAAAGAGGACTGGACCGCTTACATCTGCAGAGAGATTCTCAGGGTGAGTAACTGAATCAGACTTTTGACGAGTCGTTTCTATTTCACCTGTCTTTAGTCAGCGTCGTCGTATGTGAATGTTGAAGAAACGAAAGAGAAAACGATCATTGTTGACCTTTGTCTTTTGAGTGAATAATTAACACCGTGTGCTGTTTTGTGTTTGCTGTTAACAATAAGAGTAGTTTGCTTTGCAAGGCAGATACTGCCGACGAATGATCTGCTGTGATTAATTGCAACATGCTGTAGGAGGTATCTGCAACAATCACTATTGCCCCAAAAACGTTTTATTCCCAAACAAACTTTCCTTTTTGTGTAATTATTTTAGTTCATTTGGCAAGCTTTCAATTTTTTCAACCATTGAACCATAAACTGGTTCATAGTCCCATCATTAAAAACAAAGATAATGGGGCACCAGTAGCCGAGTGGATAGTGAGCCCACCCCATGTACGGATGCTGTAGTCCTCCAAGTGGACGGCCCAGGTTCGAATCCAACCTGTGGCTCCTTTTCCACATGTTATTCCCCACTCTCTCTCTCGTGACCCAAAAAATAAAATCCAAAAAATCCAAAAAAGAAACCTTTAAAAAACAAAAAAAACAAGGTTACGAGCCTCTCTATGTAAGAAGCTCAGATAATGAAGCTTTATAAAGCAAAAACAAACATTACATACCCATAAAACAGTCGTAGACATTTTTGTTCCACAATTACCGTCATTGTCTATTGTTGTCTGCCGTGTTTCCTCAAATGACTTCCTGTCCTTACACAGGTGTAATAGGCTTCAGCCCAACAAAGCTTTTATTAAATTACAACAAAAAAAACAGCTCAAATGATTTTATGATCAGGCGTAATTCTCTTGATTACAGCATCGACAAAGAACAAGAGTGAAATTGGAAAAGCAAAGCCTCGGGGTTAAGAAATGCAGTTACAATTCTCAGTTCACTTTTAGGGCAATGGAAAATTGAGCTTCTGTCAACTCTGAAATTATGAGTTCATGTATTTGTTATTTTGTGCACTGTGAGCTTCTGGTTTCTATTAGAGGTAATCACACAAGATCTGACTAAGCTGGTTCAGTTTCAATGAAATCTTTAGGTGACCCTTACCATAGTAAAAATATTCTAAAGTATGTTTGCTGTTTTCTGAATTGAAATGAGTGTTTATTTAATTAAAGGAATGTATGCGGAAGCTTTTTCACTTAATGTATGTCATGGGAGAATTTACCTTAACTATACCAGCACCATACAAAGAAGCCACATTCTTAACACCAGCTTGTACCCTTTTGAAAAGACAACAAGTAATGTTCTTTAGAAATAACTTCTTTCAGTGATGTCTGTGTAGGCTCTCAGTCTTCCAGGTCATGATAAATTCAAAGCTTGATCCAAATGTGTTTGTGTAGTGATAAACGCAGAACATGCCACATCATAGCATAGGAGAGCCTGCTCTTCTGGACAGGATTCTTCTGTCCACTTACATCTGAAGGACAAAGGACACTCCTTTTGACGATGGAAAAGTGCAGAACCTGGCGAGAGAAGAGCATCGGTTTGAAAACCATCGCCGAGGTTTGAGACGCCATCTTTCGCCGATTCTCGAAACAACTGAAGCCCCAGTATTGCCACCTTGGAACAAATCTAGGCGAAACTAGGAGAACTGAAGAAGCCTTTCGGAGGAGAGATGAATCGTCTTCAAGATCTCTTAACAAGTCCAGTCAAGTCCTTTGGATCAAGCTTTGAATTCTTTCAGTGTTTATCAGTCTTTTAGATGGAATACAGACCTGTTTTTTTTTCGATAACCACCCCCAGTTGTTTTTGTTCCATCGTATCAGACTTTCTAGAGGTTTGAAGCGATGAATAGATCTCATTCTCCCTAACCTTATCTCTGTGTTTGTTGAGCTGAGGGCCGAAACCTCAAACAGTGAGCTGCAATTTCACTGCATCTTGTCAGATATCTGCAATGCTGCTCTCAACAGAGGGAACAGCACTTGCTCTCTTGTTTCCCCTTTAATGTTTTCCTCTTACCTTTTATCTATCGTCTTATTGTTTGCTCTCTGCTTTCTCTCTCCATGCTCTGCCTTGGTCTTCTCTCTTTTTTTTTCTTCCACGCTTTGGTTATTGTACGACATGACACGTCAGGATGACAATATATTACCGAGTCAAAATATTGTCCAACTCACAGGAAGATGTGTTTGAAAGTTATTTCACTGCACTGCAAGATGTGCACCCGTTTTTTGGAGATCACTTCTGCAAAGGGAGGCCCATAAGTTAAGATTCAGGAACCATGGAGCTACTAGTCCTGCTTAAGAGCACTTTCATTCTAATGATACTAGTAATAATAGTAATCGTGACTCGTCTCATTGCTGCTGTGGCATTTCTTCACCATGTGTCTCCGTCTGCAGGGTCTGACTCATCTCCACCAGCACAAGGTCATCCACAGAGACATCAAGGGACAGAACGTCTTGCTGACAGAGAACGCTGAGGTCAAACTAGGTCAGTCGGACATCTAACTAAACTGAACTTGGCTAAATGGCTGTATGATTTTGGGAGCCGGAGGAGATTTAAAGTTTCAGATTGCTCCTCTGAGGTGTGTTTGTGTTACGTGTGTGTGTGTGTGTGTGTGTGTGTGTGTGTGTGTGTGTGTGTGTGTGTGTGTGTGTGTGTGTGTGTGTGTGTGTGTGTGTGTGTGTGTGTGTGTGTGTGTGTGTGTGTGTGTGTGTGTGTGTGTGTGTGTGTGTGTGTGTGTGTGTGTGTGTGTGTGTGTGTGTGTGTGTGTGTGTGTGTGTGTGTGTGTCTTTTCTTTTCTTCTTTTATGCTGAATACCAGTCGACTCATCTCTGTGTACTGTAGCTCTGCTGCTGTTCACGCTGCAGAGTGCTGAGAAAGGAAGGAACTCTCTCTCCCTCTCTCTGGGGAGGGGATTATAAAGTGTGTGTGTGTTTGTTTGTGTGTAAATCAGAGAAAATATCACCGGTCGAGTTATTTTTTTGCATTCAGAGTTTATAATGGAATCCAGTGAAGCCTTCAAAGCACACAGCAAAAAAAAACAAAAAACAGATTCAAGTAAACTACACACTGTAACCTGAGATGCTTTTGCTTGTGTGTGTGTGTCTGTGTCTGTGTTCGTGTGTGTCTGTGTATTTCCCCCGCAGTTGACTTTGGTGTTTCGGCCCAGTTGGACAGAACAGTGAGCAGGAGGAACACGTTTATCGGGACGCCATATTGGATGGCACCTGAGGTCATCGCCTGTGACGAGAACCCTGAAGCCACCTACGACTTCAAGGTGCATTAACAGCCGCCAGTCCGATGGAAGTTTTACTCTTGTGCTTTTATTTAGAGTATTTATTCACTGTGTTTCTGTCCTTACAGAGTGATTTATGGTCACTGGGAATCACTGCAATAGAGATGGCTGAAGGAGCACCACGTACGTACCTTTGCAACAATGCTTAACGTCTAGCTTTGTTTGCTAATGTGACGTTTGGACATAAGATGCTAAATGACAAAGTGGGCTACATCTGCAGATCTATGAAGGGGATAATGAACGTATACATGGAGACAACATCTGTGTTTGTATTTGTGTGTTTCAGTTTGTGATTTTAGTTGTTGTTTTTTTTGGTGAGGGCTAACTCCAACTAGCTTTGGCAATATGCCATGAAAATGTTTGGCATAAGTGGCCACATTCACCCTAACACACCCTCACTGCTTCCTTCCCATTTCTTTAGCTCTGTGTGACATGCATCCAATGAGAGCCCTCTTCCTCATCCCGCGTAACCCCGCCCCCAGACTCAAGTCCAAGAAATGGTGAGAACCGCAGACTAATAGGCCCAGGCATGCACTTAGTTATAGGTAGGTTTTTGAATAATTTTTTTTTGGTTTATTTGTGTCTGATTTTAGGTCAAAGAAGTTCCAGTCGTTCATAGAGAACTGTCTGGTGAAGAGCCACGACAAGAGACCCAGCACTGACCAACTCCTTAAACACCCGTTCATCAGGGACCTGCCCAACGAGAGGCAGATCCGCATCCAGCTGAAGGACCACATCGACCGCACCAAGAAGAAGAGGGGAGAGAGGGGTGAGTGAGAACATGTGCTCGAGTGGATTTAAACCCACATGTACATTCACACATAAGGGAATAAGTAGTCATGCTTGAGTAGTACGACTCCTGAAAGTTGTGATGTTGCGATTCGACGCAAATTCAATCCCTGCACCTTTTTTTGCGACCTTGCAATGTTGGCCAATCTTCGGAACCTGTCCACAAATCAACTTATATCCACTCCATGTTTCCTATCAATGGTTTTATTAAAACACCGCAGGTTAGAAGCTGAATGGTGTGTTATCTAATAAAAATGCTGTGTAGATTATTCTCTTCACAGTTGGATAACATTACGATGAACAATTGCAGCACAAAATGAAGTTTTCCAATTCCAATTTTATGTAATTTTTAATCATCCTTTTTCGACATCTTAACATGAACATCGAATGAAAGTAATGTCAAAAGTCAAACAGTTTGCTCAGCCAATAGGGGGCGGTTATTGGAGTGTTTGTCACAGTTACTTACAGTTGATTTGTAATGTGTTAAAACAACATCAACATTTTTGTTCTTAAGAATCACAAACAAAGCCTCTGAAATCCTGGAGTGACTGATTTAAAATACCTTTAACATACAAAAAAACAATTCAGTTAAAGTTGTGATCCTTAAAAGAAGAAGGTTTTTGTTCTGGTTAATTTGTCTATTTGAATCCCGTGCAGGGATGGCAGCCTGCTGGCTGAAGTGTTTGGTATTCCATGAGTAGAAACAGGCTGCAAATCCAGAAACAATGCAGTTTGGAAAGAAAAAAACAGATGCCGGTGCAAGACCAAAACAAATCCAAAGACGGATGCTTTTTGCATCACGTTATTTCATTTGCAACACTTGCAAGTGTTTTTTGAATTAGCATCGAGTGAATCTGCAGCCTGTTTCAACTAATGGAAATCGTTCAGACCGTTGCAGGGCGATTGCCCCTTTCGGCCGGTGTAGTTCAGACACACACACACAGACGCACACAGACACACACCTCCTTCACACTTACTGCACAAAAATAGTCTGCAAGAATAAGCTGTAATGCACTTTTCAACTGTCACACAAATGCATATGCTCATGCACATTTTTCATCAGATAATAGTTTTCAGTGAGGCAAGAAATAAAGTGACAGACTTCTTTTTCAAATCACCACACACACATACACACACACACACACACACACACACACTCACACACACACATTAAGTGTGAGTGATAGGCCGACACTCGCACACCAACTGCGTCAGTAAGAACCACATTAACCGCTTCGAGAAACAGCACACTGCAGGGCTGCTGTCCTGATGATGTATAGAAATGTCCTGTCATTGTAGACACTCTGTGTCTCTCTGCAGATGTCACTCTGTCACAGAAGACATGTCTGCGAGGAGGTTTCTCTGTAAGAGGCGGGGACGCGTCTACAACCATTATGCTTTAAGAATAAAGCTGGAAAAAGCTCCCAGCTAATGTTCTCCACCTCACTACACTCAATAAAATTACAATTTATACTTGTATTCAAAGCGGCTAAAAGATTGGTGCCTTAAAGGAGTGAGGATGGGAGGAATGCCAGAATCATGAGCGGTTTAGAAATTAACGGGAGGAGCTCAAGTGAATGAGAAAAATGTGAATGCTCTTCTCTGGTTTTGTCCTTACTGTACCTTTTGTTGTAATCTCTTCTGTTGATTTTATCACTTAATATGTTTGTCTCTCTCTCTCTTCTATCTCCATCAGATGAGACAGAGTACGAGTACAGCGGCAGTGAAGAGGAGGATGAAGAGAGAGACATGGGTGAACCGAGGTCAGTCTTAACTCTCCTAATTTAAACACAAACATTAAAACTAGGGCTGTCAGCATTAACTAGTTAATCAGGATTAATTACGGTCTGCAATGAATGCTTTCGTTTTTTTTTAAATCGTGATTAATGGCATGCAATGTTGTAACCTTCGTCTACCAGAAGGTCCTTACTTTATTTCAAAATAAAAGCACAGTTGAATTGTGAAGTACTCTTAGCTGAGGATAGTATAAAATGTCAAAATAAAAGCCTAACAATGTTTGTTTTTAAATGCAAAATAATGTTGATTAAAAATGGAATAAATTGCAATTAACTTTTGAAATTTTGCAATTAATCGAGATTAAAAATCTTAATCGTTTGACAGCCCTGATTAAAGCATGTTCAACCTTCTGTCATTACTCGAAACATCTCTTCACTTACTGGTCCGGCAGCTCCATCATCAACATCCCCGGAGAGTCGACCCTGAGGCGGGACTTCCAGCGCCTCCAGCTGGCCAACAAGGAGCGTTCAGAAGCACAGCGGCGCCAGCAGCTGCTGGAGCAGCAGCAGAACGACGAGCACAAGCGCTTACTGTTAGCTGAGAGACAAAAGCGTATCGAGGAGCAGAAGGAGCAGAGGCGGCGGCTGGAGGAGGTAAACATGAGGGGGTTGAAGAAGTGATATTTTTACTCATAGACTGTGTTAACAATGGGAATAGCCAAAGTGATGTCACCCACTGGTTCGTCAACTTCCTTTTTTAAGCCATGAGTGCGGGTGCTGCTGGAGTTATGAAAGCTATTAGTCTGTACTAGTGGAAATTTCACAACACACACTCTGTGAATAACTACAAGAAACAAAGCTGAGAGGTTAAGTTCAGTGAGATGGCATCCATGGGCATCCGCCTGTCGCTCAAGTGGACCAATCACATCCCTGTGCATTACTTGAAGCCTTAATAATTTACATGAGTGAGTTATATCAATTTACCCCCACGCAGTTGTCAATTAAAGACAAACAAGATCTAGAGACCCAAAGTGATTGTGTGGCAGGCTGTAAGCATGTTTAATTAAACTCTAATGTTGATATTGGTCCTATTAGTGATTGCTTCTCTGTTGTAGACAGCCTCAAGTGGCCTTTCAAGGAACTGCAGTTTCTGAATCTCGTGCTTTGAGCCAGAGGTTGTCACTTAATTCACATCAGTTTATACACTGAAAGAAAGACAGCAGAAGTCACAGATTTAACATGGATAGCCAAAATATACCACTGGAGATTATAACAAAATAAATCAGATTATAAAATACCTCCAGTCCTAATTTAGCAGCTTTCATCACATTCTTACACTTAATAGATGCCCCCTGTTTGTTGGCTACCATTACACTTACACACTTGGCACACTAGGCATATTTGAAAGCATAAATTGTCCCTTTTCTGACACCTTAAACTTAGAAAACCTCACATTTACCATTTGAAAGAGATTGCAAAAGAAAGGGAAAGTGATACAGACACAGACACAGATCCTTTCCCCAGTGTCCCTCTTTTAGTTCCAGTGAGCAAGCTTGTTGAAGGAAATCCTCAGCCCATAATCGGTGCGCTCTGTCTGGGTTCCCATCAGGGTTTTGCCCTCCAAACATTCTGCTGAGCACCATGACTCCCCTCAACTTACTTGACCCACCCACACAGGGCTGAGTGTGGGATTCTTCATGTGTAAATAAATACATGTTAGTGTGTTTTCACGTAAACACACAAGTGTGGTTGTGGCTGAAATCTGTCAATGGCTTGTCTGAAAAAAATAAATAGAAGGTAATACAAACATGCAAAATCAATAATATGTCAGAAATATCTGAGTTCAGAAACTCTACATTTGAAGGAGAGCTGCAAGTAGGAAGAGTAAATGTCATGCCAAATAGCACAAACTATGAGTTCTCATAGATTGTATTATTGTTACAAATCACAAAAGAGTAAGTAAAAAAAAATAGTTTGTGCCTTGCACCCTTTGTAAATGCATGTTGTATGTAGAAGATTCCCAGTCGAGATCCATTGTGGAGGTCGTGAAATGTAGAAGGAATAATCACACAAAACAGAAACGATGATCAAATGAGTTCACATATCAAAGTTTCAGCGTTTGTGTGAGAATCTCTGCCGAGGCAGGATTTCTTAATTTGCGTGAAAACAGATAAACCCCCTTTTGTTCAGTGATCCTGAATCATCTGGCTGCGTCTGTTCTCCCCACAGCAGAATCAGCGAGAGCGAGAGCTGAGGAAGCAGCACGAGAGGGATCAGAGGAGGCGCTACGAGGAAATGGAGCTCCGCAGAGAGGAGGAGAGGAGGCATGCAGAGAGAGAACAGGTCCGTACACTTTCTGTGATTTTGTGATTTAGACCATGAAGACAGCATGGTGCCACAGAAGTTCTAAGCATCATAAGTCGTGTCCAAAATCCATTATTTGCCCTCTAAACTTTCCTTGGTCTTCTTTTTCTTTTGATAGTTTTCTTCTTGAGTCATTCAGATTTTACCCACTTAAATGACCTCAGGGATAATGTTGACTCATTCTTTATATTTAGGATTTCAGATGCAGAAAGGGAACTTTGACATTTTTAATCTGATGATACTTTATTTTCTGAGCTCATGGTCACTTTCCTCCTTACAGCGACTTTAACATTACTTCCAACTTCCTCTTTCATTATATTTATGTTAGCCATATTTGATGGGGTACTGATTTGTCCACAGCGGCCAAAATCCATATAAACTTAAAGTTCCTCACATGTGCTTTAAAGGAAGCAAAAAAAACGTATTAAATTTGTACACCGTTTAAAAGAAATGTTGGAGTCTTGCAAGGGATGGCAGTTATATTACCTTAGAATAAATTAAAAGACACTCCCTACTGTAAAGGCCTACAACATTATACACATTTAAATTAGTAGGATGCAGCCGATCGATCCAACCAACAACTGTTTTCCTATTTTTCAGTGTCAATAGAAAGACATGTTTAGTTTCTGAATTCCTGTACACTAAGATTCATTTTAGCAATGCATTCTTCTCACTTCCCCCGTTATTCTATTACATACTGTTGTGCAGGAAAACTAGATATTTACAACCATGCATCCAGAGCTTGTTTCTATCTTCCCTGTACATTTTTCTTGCTGTCAACAGTTCTTTTCCTCCCTCTATTATTGAACTTACTGCTGTCCTGGTGTGTATAAATCTATCTGTCCTTGTCTCTCTTTATCGCTGTCTCTCTCTCCTCCCACTCTTATCAACTGTTCTGGACAGATATGTTCAAAGCTATTCTTTCTCCGTCGCTGTCATTTTTTTTCTTCTTTGTAACACTTTACAAATGTTCCAGAACAAGGTCTTCTCTCCTCTGATTTCCATTTTCTCTCATTTTACATCCACCTCAGGAGATTAACTTCTCCTTTTCTCTTTCTATCTCTGTCTTTTATCTATCTCGGTGTCTGGATGTTCAGATTTCCTGATCTTGTTCTCAGTCTATTTCTATCTCCTTGTGTCGACATGCCGCTCAGGAGTATATCCGTAGACAGCTGGAAGAGGAACAGAGGCAGTTAGAGATTCTCCAGCAGCAACTACTACAGGAACAGGCATTACTGCTGGTAACCACAGTGCTACTGCTGCTCCCCATTCGTGTTGTGTGGCCCCCTATTCCCCACTGCATGCACCCAAAGTGCCAGGAGAGAGGAACAGACTGTGAGGGAATCCACAGTCTGACTCTCTAAACCTGTTAGCCACGGATTTGAGGGAAAAAAACATGAAGCGGAAACAATGAATTGCCTTATCTCTAATGTTTGTGTGGAATTTATTCACATCACTGATTGCATGTACGGTAGCATTACGTTTGCTGGATCTCAAAAGACTCCCCGGAGGGCACAGAAAAACTGTTTTGTCAGCCTCGATCATGTTGGCCCACACAAAGTGAGAACATCCAAGAGAAAATGGGACGTTGTTATTCTCCGCAGAGGGTTTCTCTCACTGCCCCAGTGTGGTCTAGGGCGACAGATCCATGTATTATTTGTGAAAAGACGTCTTTTGCGTTTTGTCTTGCGTTATATTTGAAGAGAAATTTGTTAAAGGGAGCACAGACAAAGCCTGGAAACCTTTTGAGATCCATCCAAAGTAAACACAAGAGGCCAGAGAAAAGCCTATGTGGTCTGAATTATGGCCTCCTCCTCTTCCCTTCCATCTTCCCTGCCTCCTTCCTGCCTCGTACCAAAAAAATCATGTGCTCATATTTCATAGTATTCAAGGTGTCAATCATTTGTTTGGAAGTTTTGGTTTGCATGAATTCTGAACATATGACACCCAAAAATCCGAGTCACGTCTCTCATCTCTGTCCTCTCTCCGCTACTCCCTCTGCGCCTCTCACCCCCTAGGAGTACAAGCGTAAGCAGGTAGAAGAGCAGCGGCAGGCGGAGCGCCTACAGAGGCAGCTCCAGCAGGAGAGGGCCTACCTGGTGTCTCTACAACAGCAGCAGCAGCAGGACGGAAGGCAAGCAGAGAAGAAACAGCTTTACCACTATAAGGATATCAGCAATCCTAATGACAAGCCTGCCTGGGCTAAAGAGGTAAGTAACCGCATGCATTATTTACAAAGATAAGCATGCAGTTAGTCAATACATTTTTCTCGGATGTGAATGAGTTCCATCAGGAGAATAGTTCACTGAATATATGCATGTAGTGGTGATGATCCCAGTAATTGTTTTGACTCAAACCCTGTTACATCATACACACCGAGTGGCCTTCTCGTGTTCTTCACGTCTTATCCAGCAGGTCTAACTAAAAGCTGCAGTTAAAGCGGGGAAAGTGGATTCATAGCCCTCACTCTTTGAGTTTGAAGATTAAGATATTTTGAGAATGAACCATAGACTGTATAAAAAGAGGCTACATCCACTTCCTGTATCCCGTCTATGGAATGAACACCGTTGTGTTGATAATCCAACCATGATGTCTCCTTTGTCTGTGTTTGTGTTGTTGCTCACCCTCCTCTGACTCTGACTCCTAGGTCCCGAAGCAGCAGCATGTTCAGGGTAACCCACACCGCCCTAACCTACGACATCACCAGTCATTCAATCAACCATCTTCATCTGCTGTCTCTCAAGGCCAACACCGAGCTCGAGCTCGAGCACCTAGGCGAACCCCGTCCCATGCTGCCCATCTCTTGTCCAACAACCTACCACATATCCGTATTTCACAAGGCATGGACGAATCCTTAGATCCAGGGCTGAAGCAGGAAATAAGCCAGCAAGTCAGAGAATTCAGGGCTCAGAGACACAGTCCAAGGCGCTGCAGTCCAGGGCCCATCCAGGAACACAACCAGGCTGCCGGCCAAGGGCCTAGTAGGGGTCCTAGTAAGAGTCAAGGGCAGGTCAGCCAATCTAATCTAGTACCAAACCTTCATTTTCTGGGGCCCTGTAATCAGAAAGAGAAGCCACGAGACAGGCCTCTCTCTGCCCCAAGTCATGCAGCCATCCATGGGTTGCCCCCGGACCGTCAGCCTAAAGCCCTTCAAGCTCATCCTCAGTCCCCAGCACAGGTCCATAGATCTCTGTCTGAATCTAACCCTATCACCATCCCTGTGGTCAAACTGGTAAATGTCCAACCTCGTGCTAAGTCGCACTCGCCTTGTCGTAGATTAGATTTAGATATAGAAACAGAGTGGCTGGAAGGGTGGCATAATGAGTTGAGACCTGCTATCAGTCATGAGGGCTTTGCCGTGCCCTCGGATTGGGACGTCACAGAACCTAACCCAACTGACCCCTTTCCGAATACTTACCTTGCCCAATCTGGATTTAGACACTCTTACTCACCTGCCTCGCACAGGGGCAATCTTCTTCTAGTCCCTGATAACAATTGGCATAGAAGAGGAGGAGAATGGGGACAGAATGAAGTAAGGGGTTGCTCTTCTATTGACGACCTCAGTGCTTCTGCCCCAGCAGGAGTACTCAGTCAACACATGGGCAGACAAATAAAAAGCCGCTCCTCTGACTGTTTGAGAGTGAAGAGTGCTCCAACAACTCCATCTCATTTGATGGGTCTCTCTCCTTCCTCCTCCCGCGAAACCTCACCGACCCTCTCCTCCTCTTCCTCAAGGTCGTTATCCTCAACTACCTTATCCCCTCAATTCTGTCCTGACTACTTCATGTCCAACACAACCCAGTTCCTCATGCCAGTGAACCCTTCCCATCCCCAACACATATCACCTGACTTCACTCCTCGCTGCTCCCCAAATAACTCTCCCTTTGGATCCCAGAACCAGATCTACTTTAGGTCTGTTGAATGCTAGTGCTTTTCCACACATGTATTTGAACACACACACACACACACACACACACACACACACACACACACACACACATTTTTGCATTTCTATATTTGTGACTGATATTCAAAATTTCCTAGCCACAAATCCATCCCTTAATCATCATTACATTTGATTTGTATAGCAACAATTCGTCATAAATTTTATCTCAAGACATTTAACAAACAGAGCAACGGACGTACTCATAAAGCTTCCTAGTACAGTGGGTTTAATGTGTGGCGCTGAATGATGGGATCCACTTAGTGTAGTCCAAAGTGTGCCTCCTTCAGTTGGTTGCAAATTAAGGAAACTCCTGTCTTAAACAAAACCTTTTCTTTGACGTAACTGTAAAAAGTCTTAAATTCATGACCCTTTAACAACCTTTCACAGACATGACATTTTGGGGGGGATTGAATGTTTCCACTGCAGGGACAAGTGTCCAAGTACAGACCCTGAAACGTTTCCACCCCCCCAAAAAAAGGATTATTTCTATGTGGTAGCGTACCTTTTAGCTGCTGCCTCAACTCTTGGGCCGTAATTACAAAAGTTTTAAGACCTACATGGAAACACAGATTATAATGAGCAAACTTTTAACCTCTTGAAAAGGGGATCCGAGTGCTAAAACTCCCATGTACATCTGTGGAAACACAGCCAGTGTCCTTGCTTATTAGAACATATTCCCAACCTCAAGGTTTAAAAGTCAAATTGGTTTTCACAAAGATGGAAGTACAACCGCATTATCACATACTGCGCTTATATATCACACACCCATTAACATTGTAAATAAAGTCACACATCTGTAAATATACTTATATCGACAAAGTGGGAGTATTTTATGGGTCATTTACATACTGTACATGTTTTTAAATATATAGAGTGTATGCAGGTTTTGCTTTTACTTTTTTATTACAAATTAAATACTAAAAACTGGGAATGAGATCCAGAAGGGAGATGTTACTTCTCAGGGACAGTACTAAGTAACACCCTGCTCCGTTGGTAGTTAAACCCAGCCCAGCCCCAACCCCTCCCAACCCTGCCTGCCTCCTCTCACCCAGTGCCCCACCAACCATCATGGCAAGCTGGTTCCTAGCTATACTGGTGGTGTTGTCTACGATGAAACCCCCCCCCCATCAATACTTCATTTTAGGTCAGTCCACCAGTCAAGTAAACCGAGGCCTGGTAATGGGTTCTGGCCAAGTGGTGATGGGATCTTTTAGTATACATTCAAAACTTCATAGGAGTCCCTCTGTCCTCCATCTCCTCTCTTTCTTCATCCGTCTCTGTGTTCTTTCTCATTATAGAGGGGCAGTAGTAACCGTCTTCAAATGCTTTGTTTACCTTGTAGAATCTCTGCCATAAGCTGCATTTCCACCACATAAACTTTACCCAGTAGACTGGAAACTTTAAGAGCTACTCGGTACATTTCCACCCTGAACGACTAGTCCTAAATCAAGTTCCAGACACTCTATTCAACTCTCAAATTGTCCCTCTATTTTTGATTGGTCAAGTACTCCCAGCATCCCGGAGACACTTTGACACATCAGGAGATGATTTGTGTAACCTTCACAGGTTTTAAGACCTAAGTGGAAAAGTAGAAAATAATTGGCTGGAGGAACCTTTTAATTCCATGATGAAAGGTCCCCAGTTCTTTACCTTTGGTGGAAATGTGGCTTTTGTTGAAGAAGCTTTTGGGTTCAACGCTGTGGATTATAATCCAAACAAAGATTTATCCGGCACTACCCAAAAGATTTTTCCTCAGTTACATGATCTTCTTATAGTATTTCTTTCTTTGGTCCTATAGGTCAACTGATGTTAATGCTAACCTTAAACACAAACTGCCTCCACAGATCTCACCAGCAGTTCTTCTCCTGAATCCATAAAGTCCTTTTCCATCGGTTCTTTGTACTTAGCTTCTGTTTGTGCACAGTCTGTCAGTAGACACAGGCTGGTAAAGTTTTCTGCCACCATATTTGTAGAAGACTCCTAGCAGGCAAATAACAAAGATTTGAGGCATATGGCACAGCATCGCATAGTTGTTGCCACCAAGGTCATAATCTGGAATAATATGACTGGATTATGAGCTCATGGGGAATTACAGAAAGATTCAAAAGGGGAGAGTTCTCTATGGCACATGCATTTTACCTGGAGGCTATAGACACTATGCCCTGCAGAGCCATAACTCCACCCTTCACCAATCGTTCAGTAGATCATTAAGAGTGAAAAAGTGTAATTTGTTCAATTGGAAGCATTCCTCAGAGTCTTCTCTCACTGCACAGCAGATTATCTAATCATCTGATCACACTAGCTACAGGAGCTTTCTGCCTTCCTTACTCATGGACGTTTGGTGCTCTTTGGGACACAAGTGTGTAGAGACAGTCACTCTGACTGACTATTAAATGAACTAACAAAAAAACATGATTTCATATGTGTGCACACATACTACATTCGTATGTAGTGGAATCCATGATTTTGGTTTGAATGTGGTGCCTGTTGATTCTTGACCTTTCCCACCAGCCATCAGACATTCTTACTTCTCAGCTGAATGTGGAACATGGAGACACTGTGTGTTGGGAAGAAGTGACTAGATTTACCACTTTTTGTCCAATCGGCTGCAGAAATGCTGAATTTATAAACTACTTTGTACCACAGAAGAAAGGAAGGTATAAATTACGTATAGTTGTAGTCACATTATACAAATCCAGATTAGTTTAAAATACAGTATCTGAATCCTTGCAGTCTTTTCCATTGGCAGCGCTCATACAGGATTGTTTGGTTTTAGATTTAGGTCCCAGGTGATTCCCAGGAAGCTAGATTGTCAGTACTCCTGCGACACAGTCAAAAATCTTGTGAATCTGAATTTGCAAAGGCTACAGGATACTATTATGTAGCTTTGAACACAGTTGAGAAGCATTTTTTCTGGGTTTTATTTTAAAGCTCCTGTGTAGAATGTGATAATTTGGCACCCCCCGTGGACAAAGCGGTATATCTTCGCAGTTTTCTGATTTTGTCCTGTACGTGTACTTTTAGTATTTTCAGACCCAAAAAGCATCCAGCTCTCTGTCGATCTTTGCTTTGAAAAAATGTAAACAAAGGTTGTTTCTGCGGTGTGCTGTAACTCAGTCCGTCTGACACCTACCCCAAGGCAATATTTACAGGCATTTCAAATAACAATATGGTAGTTATTAATCTTCACGCTGACGCTCTGGTCTGATTTTGAATCTCGTAGAGAGGTAAAAATATAAAGCGTAGCCTGTTTAATCAAAAGCTAAAAAATCCTCACTGGAGCTTTAACGTGACATGTACTTGATATATTTGCTGCTTTAAAAAAACAACGAAATGTTTCATCACAGTGGCTTTGCTATAGTTCAACTTCTTCCAGTGTGCAGTATAGGCAGTTTCCAGAGCTGTAATTTCAAGTAAGCTTTCCCAACACTACAGACATATTCAAGATTCAAGATTTTTATTTGTCACATGATCATACGGATGTGCAGTGAAATGTAAAGACTTTTCCACAAGGCCATGCAATAAACACTCCAAAAATTAACTGATACACATGTATACAGTAATGTAGAAACATAATGTAAAAATAAGAAATAAATATTTAAATGAAATGTAGAAAATGTAAACAGAGTAAAGTGTCAGTGTGTAAAATTTAAAGTGTCCAGGGTGTCAAAGTGCATTAGGTTGTGACTGACTATAAGGCAAGCTCTAAGTAAACTGTCAGTTTCAATGGTAAACAGTCATACGAGTGTTTCTGTGAGAATCTGGAGTTGCTCCATATCTTTAATTTGATTTATGAGGGTTTCTGTGGAAATCTGAAGTTGCTCCAAATGTCAATCAGGTTTATTATTCGAAGGAAAGACTTCCAATAAATGACACAACAATCTTATTATGAGTCAAGAAAATATAAACAGGTTTATTGACGGGGTTTATTATTGCACAGGTCCCTCCCACAGCGCTGAGACGTGATAAGATTGTCTGGTGGCGTGTTTTGGTGCATGCAGCTAGTTGATCGGTACCCACAGTAGTGGTGGTGATGAAGTGTGGTGAGTGGTTGTTTCGCATGTCAGGCTGTGAGTGACAGTGGTATGTGACCCGTCTCAGGTGGAGGAGCGATCTAAGCTGAACAGACAGAGCTCCCCAGCGCTGCAGCACAAAGTGTCCAACCGCATCTCCGACCCCTCCCTCCCTCCCCGCTCCGAGTCCTTCAGCAGCGGGGGCATGCAGCCCGCCTGCACCCCACCAATCCACCGCTCCATCGAACCACAGGTGTGTGTGTGTGCGGGAGTGTATGTGCAAAAGGGAAGGCATGGGAATGTTTGGTGTGTTTCCTAAACACCAGAAACATCACAAAACGAAGTGCCTTATAGCATGAACTCTTTTGAAATTTCACCTCTGAACTGTCTTTTTCCATTTCAATTAATTATCTTAACATTCCTATCTTTATTTTTCCTACAACTGGTCAACTTCACCTCTTCAAATTCTGCCTCCTGCTTTCTGATATTTCTGCTTCCATTTCTATCCATTCTTCCTTCTTTCTCCTTTATCTCCTCTGTCCATTTTTGCTCAATCATTTTCTACCTGATTTATTTCCTTCTCCCTTCTTACTTTGGATCTTCATATAATTATGTTGGTAGAGGGACAAAAGAAATGATAAAGACATCTCTCTCCATCTTGTACATTTCTTAAACCCTTTACTACCTCCTTCCTCTCCTTTTTTCGTCCTCTAACTCCTACACCAACCAACCTGCCCCCATCCCCGGACTCAAACTCTTTATCTCTCCCGACCACAGATGGCTCACCTCGTCCCAGTGAAGACCCACTCAAGCTCCATGTCCGGCTCTCAGTCTCTGCAGGACCAGACGGGCTCAGCTCTGAGTGAAAGCATCAGCGTTGGCTCCCCTAGGCCTGACATGCCCCGCCAGAACTCAGACCCCACTTCTGACACTCCCGGGCCCCAGCTGCGGGTCGCCGGACGGGAGGAACGGGATCGGGACAGAGACAGGGATCGGGATCGGGACAGGACAGCCTGGCTGAGGGAGGAGGATCTCCCGCCAAAGGTAAGAGAGTGTGTTTGAGAAAGGAGGACTGAGAAACAAAACTGTGTTGTTGTTTTTTTTGTAGGAGATACTAAATAAATCAAAATAAAACATTGTGGTATAATGTAAGATCTAAGCAGAATTGTTCACATGTCATCCAGGATCATCTAGATTATGAGTTTACTTTTCATAAATATAGTTAGGAAGACATGATTTGCAATAGAAGCCTCAAAATGTGCACAAACATTCATATTTAAATTATGCTGTGCAATTAACCGCAATATTGTTGTCACCATATGAGCTTTGCAAGACACACATTGCAGGAGAAACTAGCATACACAGGTATTGTGTAAGAGCTGAAGATCAGCAGATAGACAAAGAAACTTCTATACATTCTTTTTCTTTAAATATCACTCCTCATGTTATTATCGATATGTTATTGCCCATCATATCTTTTTCTATTGAGCAGTCTTACTGTCAGTGCTGATTGAAATCAAAAGACTGACACCAAACTTCATCAAAAGTGTTTGATGTTTAGCTCTGCACCTCTTTTGACTCTTATGGAAAGTAATGTAACTGAATTGATGTGAAAAGAACAGCAACGTGTTTCAACACCTGATATGTTATTTAAAACGTCTAAATAACGATACATGGCAATACACATGTTGGCAATAAAAACATGATTAAATGACTCACATGCATTGTCCTTAACTGAATCTGACTTTATTGGCAACGTGAGCCCCACACACCCATCAATACAAGTTGATCAACATAGCTATGAGAGCGACAGAGCCAACACTTTGACCTGCCAGATTTTTTTTTTAACAAGATCGTTTCATTGATTATAAAACATTCATAAATCATTCTGGAAAGAAACTTTAAACTTCCTGCTCGGTGATGTCAAACAAAGCAGTAACACAGTAACACACCCTTTTGTCTCTTTGCATTTGTGCGCGTCCAGGTCCCACAGAGAACCACTTCCATCTCCCCAGCCTTGGTCAGGAAGAACTCCCCTAATGGAGGAGTGGGTCTGGGCCCCGCACTGGTTCCCAGCTCATCCGGGCCAGGTACAGTAGACATCAGCGTGTTGATCACCTCTTAGGTCTAAACTACACATCAGAAGTGACTTTCATAGTCAAGGTCAACCTTTCAACCTATGCTGGACACATTTATGCAGAATTATTTGATTACTTTAGTCTTTTTTTTGTAGTTGCTGTCGTACCTTTGGCGTCCTTAGTATTATTCTTGATGATTTCTCGTTTATCATAACCACAAAACTCCTCCTACGTTCCTAACTGTGATGTTTCCTCCTGTTCTAGTAACCCAGACCTGCGGCGCTCAGAGCTCTCACTGGACGCCATGCTGCAAAGAACTTCCTCCAACTCATCATCCTCTTCTTCCCCTTCATCTCAGGGAGGCTCAGCTGAGAGGAGAGGTACAAAAAGACACTTGGATGCACTTGTAAAACTGACACGCACACACCCACATACATCATCAAAACACAGACACACTTCCACCCAAACAATTAAAATCAGGTGCGTTTTCCTGCTCTTGCGCACATGCGAACACAGAATCACACCAACATCCACTCGCACAGCTTCAGCGAGCTTCAGAGGCTATCAGCGGGACGATGTCAGGCGCAGTTCTGCTCTGATCAACCTGTCTGATGTGCCCTGTTGCTCTCAGCCTCCGGAGAGATAGAGGAGAGGAAATGAGAGAGGGAGATAGAGAGAGGTGTACAGGGAGGTGTCAAACAACCGGCTAGAGGGATATTTTGAGATATGCATGGATCTCCCTTTGACACACACATGGCACAGAGAGAGAGAGAGAGAGAGAGAGAGGGTGAAGTGTGGTGGGATCGGTGTCACTTCATGTTTAGGGAGTGTCATTTATTATCATTTAAGAGGTGGTTAAAACTTAAACAAGAAGTGTCCAGAAAAGGAAGGACAAAAAAATGATTTTTACATCCATTTTTAATCAAACATTTTAAGGGTCATGTTTTTTTTCTTTTTTTTTTAGATAACGATTTTTTGATTAAGATTTTGAATTGATAGTAGAACAAATGTTTTGTTCCCTTGTTGTATCAGGTCAAGCCAAGCAGGAAGGATCCCCTCCAGGAGCCAATCAGGAGGCAAAGCCCAGACAGGAGGAGGGCCGTGAATCAGCCAGACCCAGCAGACCTGCTGTGAGTCAAATAACACGGACACACACTTTCACATTCCGTCACAGCAGTCTCCTCTCTCCTCCTCTTCTTCTTCTTCTTCTTCTTCTTTTTTCCTGCTATTCATCTGGTTCTGTCTTTCTCTGCCTCCTTCTCTTTGTCCTTTCATTCTTCAGAGCTATAAGAAAGCCATAGATGAGGTTAGTGACACTCGAGTCCCCCTTTCTTTATTCCCGGTTTTCTTTTTCCTCAATCTTCAGAGATCCCGTTTTACCCCTGGCATGGTGGAGTTAGTTGACTTATCGAGAAGATGATTTTTGTTTCTTTAACTTTAAAACATCAGGGTGTAATGGCGATGGCAGTGCATGTGTGCTTCTTTACACCTAGACACAACTGAGAGGGTGAATGTGGATGCGTGCTTGTGCAAGAGTGTGATAGCGTGTGTTTGTGTGTGTGTGTGTGTGTGTGTGTGTGTGTGTGTTGGGGGGGTTACCTGAACTGCCAAGCACCTGATACATCTCTGCATCTTTTTTTTCCTGTTTCTCTGTCATCACTGTTACTGGTCAGGAGGAGCTGGTAAGAACCACCGTGTACGACGGCCTTCCCCCACCCGTCTGCATGATTTGGTCCGATCCATCGGCCGGGTTGAATGGGGAGGGAAGGGATGGGTGGAACCACAGGGGGGTGCTGGCATGGGGTTGATAGGTAGAGGGGGCGCAGTGTGATGCTGAACTGAACCAGTAGGACATCAAGCCTGATTATCTTTCTTCTTTCTTTTTATGACCTGTGAAATATTGCTTGTGAGAAAATAAAGTGCTTCTCTGTGATCACTTTTTATCTCACAATATAAAAATCTTGACCGATGTTGAGCAGGAAAAGGGTCTCAGATAAGCACTCTCATTCCAGGACACTTACGTTTACAAGGAAAGATGTTTGTGTGACAACTAATGAGTTCTCTCCTTCTCCTGATGGTTTGTCCTCTCTGCTCCCTTCACCCCTGTATGTGATCTGGTCTTTTGCACTCCTCCGGTTCTAAGACTGATACAGAAGTGATTCACTTATTGAAACTTTCTCCTCTCTTCCTTTGTCCCTCCCTGTAGGACCTAAGTGCTTTGGCTAAGGAGCTCAGAGAATTGAGGGTAGAGGAGGGCAGCAGACCACCAGTCAAGGTAAAGGATTCATATACTGTATATTTGTTTATATTGTAGTCTCTGCCTTTTATAACATAGCTTTTAAACAAAAGCAAAAACAACATGGAATAAAGGTAAATATCATTTTCAATGTGACCCTTACTGGAAGAGAAATAGGTAACATGGTAGATCTTTTAGTCGAGCTAGACAAAAAAAATAAAAAAAATAAAATGCTGTATAGAAATTTAAAAATCAAGCTGACAGTGATCTTTCCCACATGTCAATCCCCATTCTCTCTCCCTGATTTTGGACTCTATCCACTGTCCCGTCTCTACAGTAAAGGCATAACAAAAACAACATCAGGGAAATAGGAAAGGAGTTTTGTGTATATTGATTGGTATTGACAGCAGTCAGTTGAAATAAATGTGAAAACATACAAACCTCAGACTGTATAAAAATGGACGTAGTCTCTGTGACGTCCCCTATTGGTTTCTGACGTGGACTTTTGAAGCTCATCTATGTCGGTCGCCATATTGGAAATGTTGACTCAAACTAACTTTTGGTTACCATAGTAACAGGCGAAAAACTGGAGCTGAGGCGGGCAAACATTTACAACGCACCCGCCTGTCAGTCAGATCAGTGACGGCACTTATTATGAATAACTCTTAACTTCAAGAACATCAAAACCAAATTTGATATCATCAATGTGTTATCACAGTGTTGCCTTTCATAAAGTTTAGGAATAATCCTCTTTATTTCGTTTTCTATGTTTTGATAAAGGTGACAGACTATTCGTCCTCCAGTGAAGATTCAGAGAGTAGCGATGACGATGGCGAGACGGTGGGACATGATGGTACTGTTGCCGTTAGCGACATCCCCCGCATCATGTAAGTTGTCCCTTCTATTGTCCCTATCTACTTTTTACTCTCTCTGCTTTTCCTCCTTTTCTTTTTTTTACACGCTGGACTTGTCAGTGTTTATTTGTGTTGAGATATTCTTATCTTTGGAATATGCACCGTGCCAGCAAGCTGTCAGTATAGTTTTGGCAGAATTGCTTTGTAAATAATTGTGTTTGTGTGCATGATGCAGGCCAGCAATGCAGAGCAGCAGCGAGTCTTACGGCGGGCTGACAGAGGACTCTCTGGGAGATGCCTATAATGGCTCCAAGGACGGCACTTTAGTGGTGAGAGAGGTGATGAATGTGCGCACACACACATACACACATGCATAGCAACATGGATTAAGAAATAAACCAAAGAAAATGTAGCTTTTGTTTGTCTTTTGCTTTCCAACTGGTCTAATGTTTCTTCTCTTGCTGTCACTTTCTCCCTAAACTCCATCTCTCCTCTTTCACTTTTCCTCAACTCTTCTCTTTTTTTTTTCTTTTTTTTTTAAATCTCTCAGGCAGAGGAGCGGAGGAGAGGTGGTCACACTGAGAGTAATGGATTTGGCAATCACAGTAACCATGGTAACCTCCCTGACCTCGTGCAGCAAAGCAATTCTCCCTCTGCCACACCGACCTCCGCCCTGCAGCAACTTGGGGAAATGCCTGAGGTCCGACATAAACCTTCATTTCACCAATATGTTGAAAAACGATAAAGTTTGATAAGTGAAATGTGTCTTAAGAATATGATAAAAATCCACAATAACTATAATATCATCATTCTCCTATAAACATTTAAGCAATCAAACGCTTACTAGCTAAAATTACAGTTCAATAGTATTACTATATATGATAGGGAAGGCCTGTTAGGCATAACATAAATGTTAGCTAGCTAATGGTAATGTTCGCTAAGAAAGTTGAATGTTACTGCTTTGGTCTCCAGGTAGCTAACAAGTATCAAATATGTTGTCCACCGCTACCTAGCTAACATAACATGTAAATAGTGTTCCCAGATTTGATAGGGAAGGACTATTTCCTAGCTAACAGACATATTGGCGAGCTAATGGTAATCTTAGCTAAGTGAGGTAGCCTAATGGTTGAATGTAAGTGCTTTTGTCTCTAGGAAGCTAAGAAGTGATCAAATATGTTGTTTTAACCAAAATGTTATCCCCATGATTTTAACTATCCAAAATTTCAGAGAAACGTATACAATTTTTAATCCTGGAATAGACTATTTTTTAAATACGGTGAATGAGTCATTGTTTTGTTTCTAACAGTTTGGTGTGGGGGGATCCAAATCTTCCTTCACCCCATTTGTTGACCCACGTGTCTATCAAACGTCCCCGAGTGAAGACGATGAAAACGAGAACTCAGCAGAAGGTAAATAAAGCATAAAAAAAGGGCTTTGTTTCACACATTTACTAATGCAACACTAACTTTTTGATCGGGAACAAAGTATGTTTAGGGCAGTAAAAAGAGGTTTTATTACTGTTTGTTCCTAAGTAATTGTTGTTTTAAATTTCCATTTCCCATCTTTCTTAGACATGTTTGCTAATGAGCTGATGAGGCAGGAGCAGGCCCGACTAAACGAAGCCAGAAAGATCTCTGTGGTCAATGTCAACCCCACCAACATCAGACCTCACAGTGACACGCCAGAGATCCGCAAATACAAGAAACGCTTCAACTCTGAGATCCTGTGCGCTGCTCTCTGGGGTAGGAGCGATCATCCTTTATCTTAAAACTACCCTGATATCTTCCAATCTTGTCGTGTGTGCATCTTTCTGCATCTCTTAACTCATTTCGTCTGTGCACTGCATGCAGGCGTGAATCTGCTGGTTGGGACAGAGAATGGTCTCATGCTGTTGGACAGAAGTGGACAGGGAAAAGTCTATAATCTTATCACCAGGCGACGCTTCCTGCAGATGGACGTGCTGGAGGGGCTCAATGTGCTAGTCACCATATCTGGTAGGTCTAACACGGACACACTCACACTATATGTAAGCAAAGACATCCATCCCCTTCCTTTTTTTCAGGTGTATATAACAACAGATTGTAGCTCATATCACACTGTTCTGTACATTGTGTAACTCTCATCAGCTTGTGTTTCCTTTTCTTAAGATAATAAAAGCCTTAAAATGAAGAAAAAATGTAAATCTTATATAAACTATCGTTGCAACGTTATTATTTAAAGTTAAATACACACACAAATTACATATTTGGAGACTCCCACTTCTTAAAACCAATTGAAAGTAGCAATCTGAGTAATCTAGGTCCTAGCCAAGCAATCTTCCATTATCAGCTGTTAACAGCCAAGTGGTTTCTAAAATATTTAGGAACTCTATTCTCATCTCTCCCGCTTTCTTTGTCGCTGCTCCTCAGGGAAAAAGAATAAGTTGCGTGTCTACTACTTGTCCTGGCTGAGGAACAGAATATTACACAACGACCCAGAAGTGGAGAAGAAGCAGGGTTGGATCACGGTTGGGGAGCTGGAGGGCTGTGTGCATTATAAAGTTGGTAAGGATCTGTGTGTTTGTATTTTTTTTGGATCAAACTAGATTAGCCTTTATTGTCTCCTTTAGGGATAGATTTGGGTGTATCATAAATGAATGCATGAACCTGGATCACGAGTACGAAGGCTGATATTGTGATTTGGCATGTTGTTCCAGATTGAGCTGAATTTTCTTGATTTAAACTGAAACAAACAAGGTTTAATATTTAGGATTGAACCTCTTACCCCTTAACAGGAAAAGTTTATGTTTGCTTGGATAAACTTTTTTTAAAGTACCTTCAGAAACACTTCATGATCGATCAAATGCGGTTTCATTAACTATTCTTCATGCCGCTGAGAGAAGTTGATGTTCAGTCCAAAAATATGGATGTTCGTTCTTTTTGTTTTGATCCGCAAAAATTGCACCCAGTTATTATAACCCAAGGACTTCTCCGTCTCTTGCCAAATGCAGGAGATTTTGTCCAGAAAGGAAGAAGGGAAAGGTAGCAGTTGGTGCCAATTTTTGAGGAGCAAAAAAGGTTCATGTACCACATTATAGTCAACACAATCAAATGTGAATGATGAATGCTGGGGCTGCTTGTCAAAGTCAAAAGGGGTTTGGCTGTTCATGTTTATATGTTCAAATTCTACAGTGTGACTAACCTTTGTATGTGTCTGTGTCATGTTTACAGTTAAATACGAGAGGATTAAGTTTCTGGTGATCGCTCTGAAGAACTCTGTGGAAATCTATGCCTGGGCTCCCAAACCTACCACAAGTTCATGGCCTTTAAGGTAGAGACACATGCAAATACTTATCACACAATCATACAAAATCCTCTCATTTATAAATACTGACTTCGTTGTGTAAACACAGATAAACATTGACAGTTCCAATATTTTTTACCACTTTGTTATTCCTATTCCATTTTCATCCTTGACTGCTTTCCCCTTTTCTCTTCCTGCTTCTCTTACGTTCTCCTCCTCCCCCCATGTCTGCTTCTCTCTTCCTCTCTTTCAGTCGTTCACTGAGTTGCAGCATCGTCCCCAGCTGGTTGACCTGACGGTGGAGGAAGGGCAGAGGCTAAAAGTCATCTACGGCTCCAGCGTGGGATTCCATGTCATCGACGTGGACTCGGGGAACCCTTACGATATCTACATCCCCTCACATGTAAGTGTAGGACTGGGCTTTGTACAAGTCTGACTCCTCCTCTTTTATTAATAATGAATTGAACAGAAACAGACACACTTGGTTTAGGACATCAAAGAGGATATTAACTTTTCTGCCTTTTTGCCTAAATCCTACAGTTTTACCTGCAGATTTCTTTTACCAAGGTCAGCAGTGATTCACGCACTGTCTCATGAGGATTTGCTTCTAGGAATACAATGCCTATCACTTGACAAATGACCTCTTTTGATTGACTTCCTGTCGTGCAAGTAAAAGATTGATGGGTACTTAAGCACTTTTTTTGTAGTTATTTAAATATGCTGCACTGGGACTTGGGATGTCTAAATTAACAATTGTAACAACAGTAACATAATGAGCGTTATTGTTCAGAAGTCTAGCTTTTCTTTGAGTGGCAGCATTCACACCGTTGTAAATTCCGGTCACTCAAATAACTCACAGAGGCATAGTAAACCATCAGTTTGCGTGCTTGAATGCAAATCACTTTGGGTCCTTACATGCAGATTAGTTGTTTTCATGATGGCTTCCAAAATGTTGTGCTTTTTCTCAAATCAAGGCCAAACACAGGTCAGCCAAATTCTTGATTTACTGGCAAAATTTCAGTAAATATAAACCACTAAATATGGCTGCGGGGACACGCAATATTTAGTTTGTGATCAGTTTAATGACTCAAAACATTGAAGCGTGTGCTTAATGGTGAGTTCACAGCAAGACTTCTGATTCAAGACCTTTCTTTTCCTCTTTAGTTGATTGTCTAATACAGTTTTTGCCTTCAATCAATACCTCCTCTCTCTCTCTCTCTCTCTCTCTCTCTCTCTCCTTCCCTGCCAACTTTTCTTCCAGTGTGCCAAAGCGCTGAAGGTGACATCCTGCCATCTACCCTTTAGCCTAGCCCAGTAGATCTTTAGTGAAACCCCACAGTGGATGCACAGAGGCACACGTGTTACTGTGTGCTACTGTTCATCAGAGTAGAGATTAACAGATCATGTAGCTAGAAATCTGTAGAATGAATAAATTCATCTTACCCAACGGAGACATACAGACTTCCACTATTATAAGAATAACAGTGATAATAATAGAAAAATGTAAGAGTGGATGCCATTTTTCAGAATAAATGCAGTTTCTCATGGGATAAGATTAGTTTTTTCATATCACTTACTCCTTTTACTGATGTGACTCCCTATGTGCTCCTGACCCTGAGAAGGACTGAGGAGACTGCTGGCACAACTAATTCACCATGATGAAATGGCGGCTGTTTTCCGCAGACGTTAAGCTCAGGAAGAGAAGCTAATATGCTGAGTGTTTCTGATTGTAGTTTGTCAACTTGGATAAACGTATAATCTACCATATTGTTACCATTTGAGTGTTGAGCAGCAACTGAAACTACAATGAGTAGGGAACATTGTAAGGTTTAACAACATGTCTGATAGCTCATTTGCAGCTAAGTCACAGGTATATGTTCAATTTGTTTCGCTAACATTAGCTTTAGCCAACATCACTGTTTGACTGTTACATCCTAAAAAATACAGTTAGCTAAATAAAATCACAACTAGTTTGCTAACCCTATGTTAGCTCACCGTTACTTGTTAACACTATGGTTAACATGCTAACATTTTGGTTAGCTAGCTAACCTTTTGTTTTTATGAAACAAAGCCTTTTCTACTCTATTTTGGCCAAACTACTGTTATCATAATACTAATCACTAATATTGCGCGCAGTGTGTAGGACATGATTAGCTGTTGGCTACAGCAGGTAAAGGTTATCATGCTGTGTGTACAGAAAAACATCACCCGTTGTCCCTCATTTAAAAAAAAAAAAAAATTTCATTTTAACTGCTAATGAAGCGGTGAATTAGTCATCATTTTACACGACACACTGGAACACAACAGTAGCCTACAATATTATAACCTTTGGAGGAAAATGGCTGCCATGTGAAGGTTTCTAGATGGTTGTGGGGGGTTGGAGTACACTTTGTAATCGCTGCAAATTCAAGCTGTGTGACTTTTCCAGTTTCTGCTGATAACATTTCTGTTCACTTAAGGTCAGAGAAAAGTGCCTTTACTTTCCGATTCATTTATTACACAGAACTTCTCAGACAACAAGCCAGTCTGACCCTTTTGATCGACTCATGCTTCTGATATTTTGCAGCCTGGTCAACGTCCACAGACTTGCTCTTTAGAGGATTACAGAATGCAGGCTGAGCGCCAGCAAAATTCCGTTGAATTAAATGCCCATGATGAATCCTCTGGGACATTTTAATCTCATGTAGATTATGAAAAAATGTGTCAGATTTAATCAAAGCCTCTGAAATGTTTGTATGTGTGTATCTTGTCATAGATCCAGAGCCAGGTTACACCTCATGCCATCGTTGTGCTTCCCAAGACTGATGGAATGGAGATGCTGCTGTGCTACGAGGATGAGGGCGTCTACGTCAACACATATGGTCGGATCACCAAGGACGTGGTGCTACAATGGGGAGAGATGCCTACCTCTGTTGGTACGTCTAAAAAAAAGTATTTCTTGTTAAATGTAAATGTTTCATCAACTCTGGATTTTAACAGAGAAAAAAGCAAGGACAAAGAGCTTGGTTAAAAATCACAGACTTTGTCATTTCAAAATGACTAAAAAGAGTCATGCTAATACCAATATCAGAGCTGATATTGCAATTTAGATCAAACGTGTTGAGAATTCTCAGAGAACCCACTAATGGGAGTTCATTGAAGGTTTAATTGCATTCACAAATCAGTTTATAACATCTGCCTTCACAAGGAGGGCTTCCATTTCTGCTTTGTGAAAAAGAACGAGGAGTGGAGGGGTAGGAAAATGGATAGAGTTCATCAGTAGTGAATTAAAAATGAAAAGTCAGCCTGCGAGAGAGAGAGAGAGAGAGAGAGAGAGAGAGAGAGAGTGTCTGACAGGGAGGTGTATGTACGAAAACTTTTAATAGGAAAAATAGCTTGTTGTTTACTGCCCTCATGTGGAAGCTGGGAGTATTACTTTTAGAGCGACCAGTTTTTAGGCAACTTTAATCTGTATTGTACTCTTGGTTATTAAATAGGAAACTCTATATGTAAATATGTTTATTGTTCATTTGTCTTATTGTGACTTATTGTTGTTTGTTTTCTTTGCTTTTCAGCTTATATCCATTCTAATCAGATAATGGGCTGGGGTGAGAAAGCCATAGAGATCCGCTCTGTGGAGACGGGTCATCTGGACGGAGTCTTTATGCACAAGAGAGCTCAGAGGCTCAAATTCCTTTGTGAGCGGAATGACAAGGTAATAAAAACAACAAGCACAGCTGATAGCAGCCCTTTGACTCTTGGTTATTCTTATCTAAAAGCAAACTTAAGAAAATCATGCAATAAATCTGACAAATAATTAACTTGCTCTTGTCTTGATTTCTGCTGAGTGGTCCTCATTGCAGCACTGCCTCTGTGGAAAAACCTAAATGTTTATAATCTATTAGTTACATTCTGGTAGTGAATAGGAGGTTTGGTATTATATTATGTTTTAAATAAGGCCAAAGCTAAATGGTATTGTTTTCACAGATTGTTCTACTGGTTCAGATCATGAAGAACATTATGTCCAATTTAAGATAAAGATAAGATAAGATATACTTTATTCATCCCAGCAGGGAAATGTAGGTGTTCCAGCAGCCAGCATACATACAACCACACAACACAACACATATATACATACATATCCCACTCATACAAAAAAACATGAGCCCACAATACATAGCCAGGATAAAAAAGTGGTATGGATGGTCCATGTGCATAAGTAGCTGTTACTCATAGATAACTGTACAAAATACCAGCTCTGCCAGTGCATAGTATGATAGATAAATAAAGAATTATGATTAAATAATAATAATAATAAAAAAGCAGTCAAGTGTGCAAATGTACAGGTGCAAAATACAGTTTGATATATGCAGCTCAGGCTAAAGTTTAAAAGTCTAAATGTCTTCTGTCCTTACTTAAAGTGCAATTGCAGTAGGTAAAAAAGTATTTTTAAATCTGTCCTTTTTGCAGCTTAGCAGCCGTAGCCTCTCACTAAAAACACTCTTTTATTCGCACACGAGATTGTGTAAGGGATGTATGTTATTGTCCATAATGTTCAACAGTTTCTGTATCATCCTTCTCCCCATCACCACCTCCAGGGGCTCCACAGCAGTTCCCAGCACAGAGCCAACCCTCCTATTCAGCTTGTTAAGCTTTTAAGCTTTTTATGGGCGTTGTGTTTTTATGGGGAGATTCTTCTTCTATGAGTGAATTCTAGTTATCTTTGTAAACGGAGGACTGTAAATGTTGTTTGTGATATGTCTCCCTCTTCAGGTTTTCTTCGCATCGGTGCGTTCAGGAGGTAGCAGCCAAGTTTTCTTCATGACCCTCAATAGAAACTCTATGATGAACTGGTGATGGGTCTCGTACCGCCGTCCACTCTGCCTCACTCTCCCATTGGCCGGCCCAGCGACACACCTCGGCCCTGCGCCACATCTCACGAAAAAGGAACCCGACCGACCGAGAGGCCACAAGTGAACTCTTTTAACACCGGAGAGACTTAAAACGTGTACAAAAAAAAAGAAGTTATTATAGAGAAAAATAACAAAGACTTGTTCTATATAGAGAGACGTGTTACTCTAGATTATTCCGGGTCATGCAGAAGCCATCAACTGACTGGCAGACTGGTGCCACTGACTTTCCAAATATTCCTACTTTCTCTGTCTCATTGTCTGGTGTGTTCAAGTCTTCCGCCTGACTCCTCCTGTCTCTGTTCTTTTTCTAACCCTCTCTTAATCCTCTGCTCCCTCCTTCCATCCTGGTAGATCGAGTCATCAATTCTTCAATCCTTTGACACCCATGTGCTCCAATTGTCTCACATTCTGTCTGCTGTGTGTGGGAGAACTACAACTCAGAGGCCGGAGGAAAAAAGATGAATGAGATTTAATATAAATTTAAATGTATGCTTCCGAATATGACAGGGAGGACAAATGTATTCTGGATGGCAGGCAGACTGATTGATTTTCTCCCTCCCTCCTCCTCCTCCTCCTCCTCTCACTGTCGTTCTGAGTAAACTGAATTGTGATTTCATTCGATGGCATATCGCTGATAGAGATGCGCCGAGGAAACTCTGCTGTCATAGGCGGGTGTAACAGTATGCAAAGCTTATGTCTGTGTCCCTTTAAAATCGAATCACTACTCTGTCTTCTTTTTTATTCCTCCTTCCTCCTATCATCATCATCATCACTTGTCCCCCTGTTTTTAAACTCTGAAGGTGCTTCATCAGATTTACTGTAATATTAAATGAACAATGAGAGCGTCATTCTGTTCATTTCTCTTCTTTTTCTTTCTCTGCGTGGCTGCGTCAGTCAGCCCATGAAGCTTGATGAAATGTACAGCACATCCGTGTGTCTCTGAAATCAAGAGTGTGTTTGTGAGTGTGTGCATAAATGTGAATGTGTGTGTGTGTGTGTGTGTGTGTGTGTGTGTGTGTGTGTGTGTGTGTGTTTGACTTGGTGTTGACATGAGTCCCATTGAAATCAATTCTGAATCAAAGTGGGATTTTAAAAAATCAATGTCCGGAAAAAGAGTCAAGTAGTTCAGTCTCTGTGCGTGGACTTTTACTTTAATGCGGTCAGAGCAACATTGAGTGTGTTTACAAGCAGGTTTCTGATATTATCTTCTTAGACTGGAGTTCACGAGATGATGAAAAATAGGCAATATAAGAGGTTAATTTACTGGAGTGTATTACTTTTTTTTTTCTTTTAACACTGTATTCACGTATGCAGCCATGTTGCTGTAGGGATTAAAATATGCATTGAAACAGCGTATCCTGGACACAACCTCAGCAGGATACAAGCTGCTGTGCTGAATACTGTGTGCATGTGGGAGCATTCATTGTTGAACGCTGTGCTGTCCTTTTTTTTTTTTTTTGAATTGCGCTCCTTACCGTTTGGTTCTTCTGAGTTGTTTTTTGGCTCCCAACTGTTTGTACAGTGCCTAGCATGATGTAAGCAAAACTAAAACGGAGGCCAAATGATAATCGCTCATGTTCGGATTAATGATTTGACTTGCCTAAAACGTTTCTTCTTCTGTTTCGTTATCTCACTCTAAAACACGTCGCCGATGTTGTTCGTCTCTTCCGGTGGAGATGTGCATTAACAAAATCTGAACTTTTTTTTTTTTTTCTTGAAAGGAGTAACTGATTAAACCTCACCAATTTCTACTCAAATAAGTAGTACAGCTCAATCATTAACACTGAATTGAAGTAGTACTAGTTTGTGCATAGTCATCCATGTTGGAGAGCACTGTAATGCGGGTTAGTTTTTCTTCTGGTGAGTAGATTGTAGATTTGACCTAAGGTGATACACACACACACAAAAAAAATACACTTATTTCCACAATGATATCATTTAAATCCTTTTTTTTCTGTTAAATTATTAAAAGTTTTATATTGTCAAGGACTTGTTTTTACACACCCATACAGTAGCTTCCTATGCAGCTCAAAGTTATGATCTGCTACTACAGGATGCAGGTGATCATTTTTAGCAATAAAGAGCTGAGCTGAAGAAACCACTGTCTTCCCTTTGTGTCTTGTGCGTGCACGCATGCATCTGTGTGTATCAGTAAAGAGCAAATGTGTGAATGGGGGCATTATGAAACATGTTTGTCCGTCGTGGATTAGGACTCCTCCCACGGGAAAAACGCTGACAGGTCATTACACTGAGGACTCTCCTTGCAAAGATGGGAAAAAAAAACAAAAAAAACACTGTATTCTTTACTCTGTTTCTCATTTTCTTTATTTTAAAAAGAGCATTACTAATGTCCTGTTTGGGGATTTTATTTGTTTTGTAAAAGAGATGATGTACGAGAGAAATAAATGAAACTAGAACATTATGCCTGTTCACTTGTGTTGTGTTTTCTGTGCTCGTCTCTTTTTTGCAAGTGTGCACATTCGTATCAGCGACCCTCAGACTTTGCCTGCCTCTTAGTGTATCATTAACAAGAACAAGTGTGTGTGTGCTATGAGAGAGAAAATACTCTCTGAGCCCCATTATTAGAAAGAAAAGACAAAAACTTTGAATCTGGGGAGAAAAATATGCTATGTTGCTGTCATTTCACAAACCGTTATTAACTGCATCATACAGTATTTCATAGTCCATATTGTAAAAGCATGAACATACTTCATGTAAGTTTTTCCAGACGGTTTGCTCACCTTCATGATCATTTTATTCCTTCCTTCCAAAAGCGTGCTTTTGAGCACATGTAGAAGTGATTTAAGACACTCTTCATTTACTGTATGTGTTCAGTCGGTGTTGCAGAGTGTGCGCGTGTACCTGTGTGCATGCATGTGTTGGTCGATTAGTGAGTTGACACAGTGTGATCAGGCATGTAGCGTTCATTGATCATTAGCTCCTGGCACTCTGGACCCATCATGGAGTCAGGGAAGGTAAGAGCATTCTCGACAAAGCCTATAGCTATAGAATAATGTAATAAAAAGAGCTTATGTGTTCTATAATGTGGGTAAAATGTGCAGACACGGTGGATGATCACTGTGTTGCTGACTTAAAAGTAAAAAGCTGAAATTTGTCACTGAAACATGGAGTGTTAGTGTCATCAGTGTGTTCTGTCTTTGCGTAATCATTCTGACATGTCAGTTGTTCATGTTCAAGTAACATTTAGAACTTCTGCTTAGGCAATCTTAAAACTAAGAAAAAACACAACAGTTAAAAAAAAAAAAAGTTAGATTATGTGGATTACTATATCATTCTTAGTTCTGTTATATGCAAGTGCAGCTCTATTTACACACACACCTTCTTGCTTGTGTATTGTGCATGTTAAATTCTGTTTGTTCACGTGTGTTTATGTGTGTATCTGATTGATTACCTTTGGCTCCTGCAGCAGCTCTCAGGTACGCTGGCTGTGTCGGTGTTTACAGCAGTTCTGGGGTCTTTGCAGTATGGCTACAGTCTTGGAGTCATCAACGCTCCGCAGAAGGTATAGGATCTTTGTCTCTGCACGCTGATTGTTGGAAACAAGATAGAAAGTCCATATGAGCAACCCTGGGGTCACTTGGGTGAACGTCTTCAGTTTTACTCTTCTGCAGCACGAGAGATAACAAAATAGTCTGAGAAACCAAGGACTAGACGTACTCCTTTTCTCACTGCACAGAAAATAAACCTTTTCAAGGTCTATCTCAGATGTGTTAAAGGTCAAACTTCGCAGAATGTCTAAACGTTTCTGCTCTGTATTATGCATCATTTTGATGGTACATATTCATGATCTATAAAAATGTATTTTTTTAATAGGTCATTGAAAAGAATTATGGCCTGTCACTGGGTGTGTGGTCAGAGAGGGCCGCTGTCCTGTCAGAAAACAGCACAGAGGAAGAAGAGTTCTCCGATGCAGGAAAGCATCCTACGGTGATCATGTACTGGTCACTGTCAGTGGCAATCTTCTCTATTGGTGGCATGCTGTCCTCCTTCCTGGTGGGATTTATAGGAGACCTGAAAGGAAGGTGAGAAGGAAATAAGAATGACACAAAAGTGATGATGAAAAGTTTGGTTGGAAAAAAACATGTTACGAGTTACGTCATATTTTTAATATTTTAGGAATCACACCTTTTTGTTTGTCTACTTTTCTTTTTCTTTAAGTTGATTATCATTGATTTACACAGTTTCTTTTTCAGCCAATAAAATATAGGCTAACTTATTTCTAACAGAAATAAAAAATAATGGGAGCAGAGATAGCAGATTATTATTATTATTAGCTGGTTGAGAGAAATTCATAACATTCACATTTTCATCATGTAGTTTTTTTTTTTTTTTTTTTTAAAGTCTCACCACTTTTCTATCTCTTACTATGTTACAGAGTTAAGGGCATGCTAATGGTCAATGTTCTGGCGATAGCTGCTGGACTGCTGATGGGTTTTTGCAGAATGTGGAAACCTCACTTCATGGTCATCGCCGGCCGTGCCGTTATGGGCTTTTACTGTGGTACAGTAAAGCATGCCTTTTAATCTTTAATATGTCTCATAATTCAGTTAGAACCCAAAAAAACATGCTAAAACTATAGAAAATACCAAAAATATCAGCAGGGATAAATCCCTTTTTTAATCATGTATGAAGCTAGGAGTGGGACAGAATATTGATACTGACTTATATTGTGAGCTTGACTTGAGGGAATGATTGTATCACTGGTGCCAAATATAGATCATTTAATTTTAAAAAAAGATGGAGATTTTAATACCAGTTTGACTCACCACGTCACTGGGTGCCCTCATGGTGACATTTATGACATGCTTGAGAGTAACTTAGACAAAAGTCACTCCCAAACTTATGTGATTGTCTGGCCATGTAGTGTGTATCATAATGTACCATGTTGTTTCTGTATCACATCGTAATATATCGTATCCTGCCGTATCGAGAGGTGTCCTTTGACTCTCATAGCTATTTTAAGTTAATTTTGTAATTCAAAGATCAATTTGACCTAAATTGCAGTAATATAAAAGAAAAAAAAATCTTTCATCAGTTGATGTGTCACAGGTAAATGTTAGTTTGTTGTTTAGCTCATGATGTTTGTGTTTCAGGGTTGACATCTGGTTTAGTGCCCATGTATATCGGGGAGATTGCACCCAAAGCTTACAGAGGAGCTCTGGGAACGATACACCAGTTGGCTATTGTTGTTGGCATTCTTATCAGTCAGGTAAGATGTACCAAAATACACAATTACACTGCCCAACATCCCGTAATGTGACTAACACTGTGCTTGTTTGATTTTTGCCTGGTTTCAGGTAATAGGCCTGGACTTTGTGCTCGGTAATGATGACATGTGGCCCCTGTTGCTCGGTCTGTCTGGAGCTCCAGCAGTTTTACAATCTCTTCTGCTGCCTCTGTGCCCTGAGAGCCCGCGCTACCTTTATATTCTACTGGGCCAGGAGCAAGAGGCTCGAAGAAGTACGAACATACAGCAACTCTTATGTCCTTATTTTCTCTCTATAATGCTCTCTTTTTAAACTCTAAATGCTAAGTTACTACTTTATCTACAGCATACAGGAAATAAATTACTTTAATGCTGTATCCCATAGGTATTAGCTTTGTTGCAGGATTTGAATCAGAAAATCGATACCGTTCCCATGTCTCTAAAATTTAGGCTAACAAGCAGCATAGTAGCGTAGCTTAGGTTTGACTTTGTCTCAGTCCAAAGTGTACCAAAATCCACTTCCAAAATCTCTTAAACTGATTTATTAATCTCATTTGTAAAAGCCAAAGTGAAGTGTCTGTGCTAAAACAAACATTTGATGTTAAAACATCAAAATATTTCTTGAAAGGAAAAGTACATCTTGTTATATATGGTGAGTTAACTAATAAGCTTCAGGGGTGATGCACAGTGATGTACAGCCTTTAGTTCCATTTTTTTTTAGCTACAGAGCCAAGCTAGCTGTTTTCCTTTGGTCCAGTCTTTGAGCTACGCTAAGCTATCAGCTCACTTTGGCTTCACATTTACTGATGGCCTGTAGACATGAGTTTTATATAGGCCTATACATTTCAACTCTCATATTCTCCAAATGCAGAATCAATTTACAAATGTTTAAAATGAGGTGAACAGGCGCAGAACTGGCCTATAGCAGTTAGGTGACGCCCCAGGTACAGAGGCAGTAGTCCTCCAAGCAGGCCGTCCGGGGTTCAAGTCCGACCTGGTGCTCCTGTATCGCATGTCATTCCCTACGCTGTCACCCAAACATCTTCCCTAACTACTGTCCTGTCCAAATAAAGACCTACAACTACGACTCGTTTTTTAAAAAGTAATTTGTTGCAGGTCTTCATCGTCTAAAGGGGGCGTACGATCCATCTGCTGATCTGGAGGAGATGAGGAAAGAGAAAGAGGAGGCAGACAGGGAGGCCAGGGTCTCTATTCTTTCATTGGTAAGTCTCTACTCTCATTTCTAAAGACATACTACTTATTATAACCATATAAATATCCTTCTTAATCCTTGAATATCACATATATTTGTTTTTTTTTAAATAGAATAGCTCATAATCTTCCTGAACCACGGCACCAATCTTAATACACTATAAACAATAAAACTCCAGGCATTCCTCTGAACACACTCCGTGAACCTTACACTAACAATCGCATGTAATCACAATCATTGTTAAAACATTAGTTACACATGGCAGTGTAGCAGTAAAGGAGTCTTTGCACATCTTTGACGCTCAAACTGCGATCTCAACAGAAAGGGCAAATAAAGCTGATCAGGAAATGTTATAACCCTGACAAAGACCTGCTTTAAGTCTAAAATGTTTGTTGTTGTATGTGCCCCAAGACTCTGTCTGATTAAAGAGCTATAATTACAAACTTTTTAAGTTTATATCAAAAGTTGGCTGTGAACTCAAAAAACCTGTGACATATTTACAGTAGAAAATGAAAAAAGCATCGCTATAGTAATTGCATGATAGTTGGCACAATTCTATAGATAAAAAACTGGACTTGGAAGATAGGACCCAACCCTTGAACCCTTCTGTTCTCCTCTAGATCTGCTCCTCCGTGTACAGACAGCAGCTGATTGTTGCCCTCATGATGCATCTCTCTCAACAGTTATCTGGCATCAATGCTGTAAGTGCTGAATTGGATTAAAGCCTTTTACTCGCTCTCATTCACTTTGTTGCAGATGAATTTAAATCCTGGCATCAACTGACGACATGATGAACTTAAAGGAAATACTGTTTTTACTCTTAGAACATATTATCTTTTTGGTCAATTTTTTTTTCAATGTGACATTTGCTTCTTTAAAGAAAAGATGGATATATTTATGAAATCTTAAAACTGTAAAGCATATGAACTGTATTTTTATACGACTGTGAGATATTTCATTTGACTAACAGAAAAACGTCTTGTGTTGCCTTGAAGATATTTTATTACTCTACAAATATCTTCGCTAATGCTGGTGTGGCTCAGCCGGTCTATGCCACTATAGGTGTCGGGGTCATCAACACAGTCTTCACACTGGTGTCCGTGAGTGAGCATGTTCATTAATACAGACACTACCGAAAAATTGTGTTCCCTTGTTTTCATTTTGCAAACCAAATCTCCGATAAAACAGTGTACTGTATGTTTTAGGTTGCACTGGTGGACAGAGCTGGCAGGCGCACTCTGACTCTGGTGGGTCTTGGAGGAATGTGCTGCTGTGCTGTTGCCATGACTGTGGGCCTCAATTTTAAGGTTTGTTCAAAATGAGTCATCAGAGCTTAAGACTACTTGGGCATCTTAAACTACATTACCATTATGGGACAGCCCGATTCAGTGGCCTGGTCTGAAACAGTTTATTCTTGAGAATTTTTTTTTTATATCTTGAGAATTTGGATATAAAAAATACCTGCTGTGTTGCTCGCTCCATACGACTGTGCTGATAGTTCTGTGGTAAAAGGACTTAAACTTGTATCGAGTTTTTCTAGTCTTCTGACTACTCAAAGCGCTTTTACACTGCATGTCACATATACCATTTCACACCCATTCACATGCTGATGGCAGTGGTCGCTATGTAAATTCTTCATCATTATCAACTAAGCACATTCATACATATGTGCACGGCCCCGCTGAAGCAGCAGGAGCAACTTAGTTAAGTGTCTTGCCCAAGGATACATCGGACATATACAGTAGCTACAGGAGCTGGGGATTGAACCTCCCACCCTGTTAAGAGAGGACAACTCCACTGAGTCACAGTTGCCCGGTCAGTCATTTTACAATAAGTATAATAAGTATTAATTGTCATATGACCATACACATTGATTAAATATCAAGCTTGACACAAAAACCTTCTTCTGAGGTGGTTTTTCATGGTGAAATGTTCTCTTTTCTGAAATGTTGCGTTTAAAAATGTGAAGTTTTGTCAAATGTTGCAGTGTTTTCACCTTCAGAGCCACCGTGGAAAAGAACATGTTGTAAAGGTTCAGCTTTTTCAAAGAGTTGAAATAATTGTGAACTACTCAACCGCACACAAAAAAAATACACAAACGGAGCAAAAAGTCTGACATGACGAAACTTTTTTTTTTCCTGACTTCCCTCCAGAGTGACTATGCATGGATGAGCTACGTCTGCGTGGCAGCTATCTTCCTCTTTGTGAGTTTCTTTGAGATTGGTCCTGGTCCCATTCCGTGGTTCATAGTTGCTGAGCTGTTCAGCCAGGGACCTCGACCGGCGGCCATCGCTCTCGCTGGCTGCTGCAACTGGACGAGCAACTTCATCATAGGCATGACCTTTCCCTACATACAGGTATACGGCAGAAGAGATACACATTTGTAATTTACGCACTTGCGTATCTATCTACTTGTATTTGCAGCATTCACAGAAAATCATTCATTTTTCTTTCTCCTTCCAGGTGTTTTTGGGTGTTTATGTGTTTGTCCTGTTTGCTGTGCTGCTTCTCTGCTTCACTGTGTTTATTTACTTGCGGGTCCCGGAGACCAAAGGCAAAACATTTAAGGAGATCGCTGCTGTCTTCCAAAAGGGACACAAGAAGAGCCCCAAAGATGCCACTGAACTGCAGCAGCTCAAAACGTCTACAGATGCTTAAAAAGACGTGCAGCTTTGTATGATCTGTTAAGCATAGGAAAGATTTTAAAACCAGTATTTTAGATGTGATATGGTAATGAACATTCATACTTACAGTATTCTAATCATTATTAATTACTAAAGTTCACATTTTTACAAAACATCTGTTCATTTTCACATTATGACAGCTACACTTAAAGATCATGTATCCTTCATATGGAGTATTGTTTACATTGAATCATAATAGAAACTTTATATGCAGTATTATTGTGGTTAAAATGGCTGTTATCAATATTACATTACATTGTATTGGAAAGATAGCACTTATAAAGTACTATCACTTTGCATTTGGCTTCAGCTCTACTAAACTTTACTGTCTCTGCTTATTTTGCATAACAGGTTTTATACTGTTTTTTTTTTTCACTGCCTGCATTCCCATTGCGTGATTTGGGCAACAGGAGGCAGCAGTCTTCAGAAAATCAGCTCTAAATTCACACCCAAAAGGAGAGTGGATTTGGTAGGAACCAGCGGCCAAATACACTATTACAACTTAATGTTAGCTTTGCCCTTTGTAAGACAGATTTTTGCATCTGTATGCTATGAAGTTTCTCAAGTCACTGTTGCGTTCACAGCTTGCTTCTGCTGCCCCTCAGTGGCCAAAAGCCCTTACATTGTCCCATACTACCTGAAGTGTCCAATAGTATCTGTTCTACTGTACTGTTGTTTGGTAAGCACTTACTGATATCTCTGTCTGTATTTAAAAAATGACTGCAATATTTCTGTCTTGATATATAATCACAAGCATCTCTACACTAAAAGATTGTTTGGTTTATTGTCTCTTTGCTTGAATTATTAATATCTGTACAGATTCATGTATGGAGGAGTTTGACACAATCTGGTGGGGCCCACTGACACACTTTGGTTATCACAGCAGTAATGCATGCAACACTTAGCAGGGCAACGGCAGTGAGTGCTGTCAGGTGGGTTCCCCTTAGGGAGGTTTCCTACTGTCATTGGAACATTTGCACATTTTGAGCCACTGCCCCTGGTCTGGGGCCCCAAGCAATTGCCTGCCATGCCTGTTGACAAACAGCGCCTCTGTTGACACTAGAAGGTTGTTTCCATGTACATCTGTTGAAGTTTCTCTGCGTCTTCTTAAACCCAATAGTCCAGGCATCTATGCATGAAAATGAGGAACTTGTATGGAAGCTAATTTCAGTACGCAACTTAAGGAAGTTTGTTGTGAAATTGGGAACCTTCAGTAGAAATATTCGAATGGTGGACTTTTGGGTTAAGGAGGAGAAATCTTGTTTCATAGATTCTGACATTTTCACTGAAGGTTTAACAGTTGATGTAGTTTATTTCTTCAATAAATCTTTTAGGAAATAACACCTAATGCCAGTGGGCTTCAAAATCCAATAAGATTTTGACAAGTATGCCTTTTTGTAACGGTATAACAAGACCCAAAAATGTCATTTTTATGTTTAAAATTATTTTCTTTTTTGCCCAACCTCTAGTCACCCCCACCAAGCCTCACTATTAATGAACAACTGGTTACCTCCATCCTGCACAGAGTCAACCCACACAAGGCCTCTGGCCCTGACAGGCTTAGAGGTAGGGTGCTCAAGGAATGCTCCACCCAGCTAGGTGGGGTTCTCACCAGACTGTTTCAGTACCTTTTGGATTCTGGGTGTGTCCCCAACCAGTGGAAGGAATCCACTATAATCCCAATCCCACATGCTAAGGACCTTAAGGACTACAGACCGGTGGCCCTGACCTCTGTGTTGTGTAAATGTATGGAGAGAGTAGTGTGTGACCATCTGTCTAAAATGTTGCCTAACAAACCTGATCCCCTACAATTTGCCTATAAAGCAAAATGTGGTGTAGAGGATGCAAGTCTCACACTTATAGACACTATCACCAAACACCCTGACTCTGCACATCCCCACACGAGGATTTTATTCATGGATTTCTCTTCTGCTTTTAATTCTGTACTCACACAGACACTTTGTTGCGTCGCCTCTGGGACCTTAATGTCCACCCTACACTGGTTTTATGGATTAAGAGTTTTTTACCTGAAAGACCACAACAGGTGTTTTTAAATGGTTTTAATTCCAGTAAATTGGTTGTGGGGGCAGGGGAAAATCACCATCACCTCTCTTCCAACCACTCACAATCCAGGGTCAGTTTGTGGAGCAGGTTCTTTCTTTTAAATGCCTGGGACCAGAGATTGACACCTGTCTCTCCTTTTCACAGCATGCTGACTCTGTCTACAAAAAAATCACAACAGAGAGTCCACCTGATGAGGAAACTAAGGACTTTTAATTCAGCAAACATATTTTAACTCTGGTTTACCAATCACTCATTGAATCCATCCTCACTTTTAACATCTCATCCTGGTACAACTCCCTCACCACCAAACTAAAAACCAAACTCTCATCGTTAACCAGGCCAGCAAAATTATCGGTTCACCACAAACTACTCTCTCCGAACTGTATAATCGCTCTGTGATCAGGAGAGCCACCCTGATCACAGAGGACCCCTCTCACCCCTTCCATCACTCCTTCCACCACTCCTTCCAGTTACTGCCATCAGGCAGACACTACAAAGTCCCTCTGGCCCGGAAAAACATCTACAAAAAAATCCTTCATTCCCTCTGCAATAACCATTCTGAACAAAATCAAATAGACCCCCCTTTTTAGAAACTGTTGTTTTTAAGTCCTCTTTAATGTACTGCACTTTCTGTTTTTAATGTAAGACATTAAAGTATATCTATCTATCTATCATAAGACCATTGACTGAAAGCCTATACCAGACAATGACTATAATTGAGAGGAAATGTTCTCTGTTTTCAAACAGGTCATCCAAAGACAGTCCCTCGTATACATCAGTCTGTCTGAACAATAATAAAACTCCTAATAACTTTATTTATATAGCACCTTTCAAAACACGGGATTATGAGTCAAAAGAACCCAAACACAGAAGAACATAAACATCAGCAAGAATATCGGCAACGCAAAATAACCAGAACAATAACCCAACCGCAAAAGAACCCTTACAGCAAAATATCCAGCACACATATTTAACCAAACCATGGTTAAAGACCAAAGGTTTAAGACCCATTATGAGACCCATCATAAGATCCATCAGAAGAGCCATCATAAGAACCCAACAACACGGCAGAAACCAAGAGGAGCAAAGATTTAATATGATGTAAGAAACTAAAAGAGCTAAAAGCAAATAAAAACAGGTAGCAGCAATAAAGGGTAAAACCAATACAAGAGATGAGAGCAAAAGAAACACGTGAATAAATTCTAATAATTATAGTATAGAATTGAAACAAAAATAAGAGCCATATGAGCAATTCAAGGAAATAAAGCAGTAACTTTAGATGGAAGCATTAATAAAGACACAGTATAAACATACGGTATAATGTTGTACAATATATAATAATAATAACTTTTATTGATATAGCACCTTTCAAGAGCAGAGTCACAAAGTGCTTTACAAAAGGAGGCTATAACCTATAGCCTAGTATATCATGACTGTAAATAATTATACAGTCTATGATTTAATTATACTGTATATAACTTTTTGGGGACTTCAGGGTTCCGTAGAAACAACATGCATGGTATGTTATAATATTATATTAAATCATGTTATGTTATAGCTATAGTTTAAAATATTAAATCTGAATTTGAAGAAGGACTTATTAGTAGAGTAATAATATTATAGTACATTTTCTATTCAAAAGTACACTCAGTTTACTGCACATTGCACATATTGCACAACTTTTTCTTTAAATGTTATTTTATTTTATTTACCATTTTGTTTTGTACCTTTTTGCACATTTTAGAATATTACTGTAAATATTATTTATCTTATTTTACCTCATTTTATTTGATCTATTTTACCTTATCTTATTTTTTACCTTATTTTGGTTGTATTGCACAGCGGGACGGAGACAAACGCAATTTCGATTCCACTGTATGTCTGGCATATTTTTAAAATTGACAATAAAGTTAACTTTGACTTCTTGTACTAATTAAAAAAACACCTGAACAAAACTAGCCTATTTATCTTCACCGTTTTGTTGATCACATTCACATACTGATTAGAAAGACTTTACATCTTTAATAACTAACTAAAAACATTTTGCAACCTTAATGTTTACAGTCTACGATTTGAACATTTGACATTTGACATTTTAACACGTTGACAGTCACGACAACGTATGCTGTCGTGTTGTCATGGTAACGGAAGCCCCTCCCCCTTCCCCCCCCTCTCATTACCATGACAGCACACGTCACGCAGCTTGTACCTGCCCCGTCGGCTTCTCCTGCATAACAAAAGCTTCACTAAACCGAAGTGACTCTCCCTCTTCGGTCTAAAGCGAGACGCAAGGTGAGCTTAACGCGCAGGCTTTTCGAGTCACATTTTAACCCGGGAATAACGTTAAATAACCGAGTGTTATCGACGGACGGGGCGTCTTTCCAAATGTGTAATGATTACGGGGGCGCTATTTGTAGTCTGCGTTGTTAATAAATAACTTCTTTAAACGGCGGGACGGGCGCTCGGCGCTACTTGGAGCTAACCGTGGGCTAACTGTCTATGGGTGTGGGTCGTGTTAGCATGCTAACGAAGCTAACGATGACTGGGAACATTCACGAGGACGGGGAAGCTAGCTCAAGCTAAAGTTGCCGGTTTTTTAAAACGCTACTTTTATAAGGTTTGCTAGCTATCTAGGCGAAGGGACTATTTTTTTTTTTTTTTTTAGATGATTAAAAATCCAAGTAATCCAAGAAGTCAGCTGGCGTTGAGTTAGGACAACCTGCAGGACGGCATTCTGACACGATGACGTCTCGTATGCATTAGCTTTAGATGCTAATGGACGAGTGTGTTGTAGTTTATAGTGTGAGCTGGAAAATAGGCATTACGAGCAGAAAATGGCACTTTTCTAGTCGGCCCCTTTTTCTCTGATTTTGAGGTCATTGGTTATACTGCTGTTTACAGCCCGACACTGTTGACTTCTGTGAAAGAAGTTTAAGCATGACCACGTATGCAAAACTTTTCCAGAACAAGGTTTTCAACCCCATTTGATTTCTGGCAGCTGTTTGGGAAAACTGGTTGCACTCTTGAGAGTCCTGTGTTTTTTTTGTTTTTTGTTTTAATTAAGTGTTGCACTGTTACAAACTTCATAGATCCGTATTTGAAATTCAGATTTTACGAAGCTACTGTTAGTCACATGTTATGTTCCTTTCCTGGTGACAACAGCCTACAGCCATGGCAGATGATGATTTCGCCACTGTGGATTCCGGGGCCTCCAATACTTACCCAATTCAGTGCTCTGCCTTGAGGAAGAACGGCCTTGTTATGATCAAAGGAAATCCCTGTAAGATCGTGGAAATGTCTACCTCTAAGACTGGCAAGCATGGGCATGCTAAGGTAAAACGTCCTCATGTGTTCTCTTAAGCACTGTGTGTCTGTGTGTGTTTAAGGCACATTCTCTGAAGTTGCTTTAAATACATGGTTTCCCTGAGGCATGATCGTATCCCTTGGGGTTTTCTCAGGTTCACCTTGTTGGAATTCACCTGTTCACCTCGAAGAAGTTTGAAGATATCTGCCCCTCTACCCATAACATGGATGTCCCAAATGTAACAAGGAAAGACTATGAGGTGAGATGTCACTCTTTATTGTCTTCTTAAAACCCAGAGGCACAATGGCTACAAGTTTGGTCCTAGGTCCTAGAAACCCATAATTATATCCCTGGGGCCGTTTTCACAAAGTCTCCTAAGCACTGAGAGTTGCTCCTTGTGACAAGAACCTAAGA